CCCAGGCAAAGACTCCAATGGGTACACACCTTAACTTTTACTTCAATGTTCAAGGCATCAAAAAAAAAGAAAAAGAAAAATCTTTCCATGGACTTAAATATTCTACTAATTTCCTGCATAAACACGTAACACTCACGTGATGTAGGTCAGCTCTATCAGTAGAAACACTGATAAGAGTTAATTTACAGTCAATCTCAACAGAAGAAAAATCTGATTCAATGTCTCCTCCAGATCTTGACCTGTTTTCCCCAATTTTTTGCCTTTACTCTCTTCTTGATTGATCATATTTTAATCTTATTAAGCAAATATGAAGTAAACTGTCCTCAAGAAATTTACTTGATAAACTTCTGTTGCACAAGATATTTTTATTTTTAATTAATATAGAAGTATATGGCTGTAGCATCAATGAAAATTATTCAAGCTCTTCCTTCCCCCCCCCCTCCCCCATTAAAAACCATCTCAATGAGTAGACGCTGTCGGCTTCCCTTTGTAATTAGTCCTTCTTAGTATCAAAATTTGACTACTTTAAACAGTTCATTTGTGTAGTAGCTACTGACAAAAGCATTTGAAATAATTTTACATCTTAAAACTATGCTCCTTGGAAAATTATTTCGGTTCTTTGTTGATATGACATATATTCCGGTTGATTCTAATTTTCATGTAAAAATAATAATGTATAGGACTCACTTGCACTTTTTATTTTATTAAAATTGCAGCAAGTGCAAAGTGAGTCCTATACATAATTATTTTTATTAATTAAACTTGTGCTGACTTCATAAGTGTTTTCTAATTTTCACAACTTTTGAGGAAAGATACAAATGCAGGGATCTCTTTATTTCATCCTCAGAGTATACGAAGGATAAAATAGAAATTTGAATGGGGAAAAAGTAACACCTACAAAGCTGGAACTATCATATCAACTTAAATGAAATCGTCAAGTGTAATTCACCTTCTTAGCTGTAGTCATGCTGGAAATTATTGGGTCTTGATTTTACACTAAAATATCATTTCTTCCAATTAGATTGAATTATTTTTAAAATGAATGAACCATTTCCTCTCTTAAACATGTTGTGCTACATCTGTAAATACCCTTGTACATACGCATGGAATGAATTTATTTGAAATCAAGTGAGTCTCAATTCTTCTAATCTGTGACTTTTTTTTCTCTCATTTTTACTTGCGTCAAATTAGAGGTTTGAGCCTCAGAGGATAACCATTTTATCTCTCTCTCTCTATTCATCGTAATTGAATATTGTGTTCATTTTTAGTTGCCAAGTGGAACTCAATGATCTTAATTCTGTGACAGTCAATCAATTAAGTATCAACATTCCTTTGTTACGCAATTTTTTAAGGGCTCTTATTGACTTGGAAAGTATTCCCTGGACAATCAAGTTTTTGTGTGGATCAGAATGTAGTTTTAAGTGAAATTGAATGCTTCACAATTCATACTATGTACTTAAAGCATGCCTTTTTAATAGCTGTTTTTTCATGCTGATAGGGCGATGGAATTTACATGCACAAAGATAGGTGAGAATGAAAGCAAAATCTTAGGATTAAACAATTGGCCTTCAGCCAACTATGTAATTGTTATTGTTAATCACTGAGTTATTATGAATTTTAGGAGTTTGTCTTTCTTGTTCTTCCATTTATTCAAATAATCAGTTTGATTTTCTCCGAGAGGAAAGGAGGAGGGATATCTTTTTTCCTTATAAAAATACTTAATTTTGAATTTATAACCCTCCACTAGTTTTGAAATTTAATTACAGACCCTTTGTATGTGCACGATATGATTATTGTTTTTTTGATTGTGCTTAGAGGGAAAAAAGGGTTTTAAATTTCCCTCGATTTCTATCGACCTTTGAAGAATTTCCATCAATTTATTGACTGAGTATTAAAAGTATGTATGTGATCGTGAAAAGTGTACATAACTACTCAGGCACTGCTTGAATGCTTACCCATCTAACATCAGTACTTTTCATTGGCATCTCATTTACGAATTATTGAATTTCTTTTGTTATCTTGTGGTTTCTTGATTTTTAACGTGTTAATACGTTGTTATCGTCAAATTTTGATGGTAATTTTTATGTACATAGACAGCTGATGAAAAAAAAATTGCACTGCGCGTGCCAGATATGTGGTTTTTCAACCTGTACAATTTATTGTTAATTTAGATCCATGATTCGCCGCACAGGCTCCTTATTTTTTATCGTTGAATATTTTTTTAATATTTTTCATTCCTTTCGCAAAATAAAAAAAATTGTTAAGTGTACTTAATTACAGTACAGGCTATTTTTTCATCCATTTACCCTACGACCTCCAGTACTACTACGAAGCGTATCAGTACCAAGAACAATCAAGTTTTATGTAAAATTTTGAGGAGGAAACGTGTACGTTCAAATTTGTGCCTTTTCTAGTGGTCCATTTTGCAAACAACTTCTACACCAATTTTTTGATCATTATTTAAATTTCATTTAGTCTCACTTTCCGAGGAGATCAAGATTCAGAATCAACAATTTTTGCAGCTGACAGTTGAATTAAACCAATTTTTTAAAAGAATAGGCATTAAATTGCTTGAATTGACTGTTTCTCAAAAAGCATCATCTCTGAGAAAGAAAAAGAACATGATTTTAATGGGATACGAGTGTGACATAAAAAATCTGGATTAAATTAACTGTCAATTAGGATAATAATTCCTAGAGATATGTGGTGGAGGTTGATAAGCAAGAATGAATAAAAAAAAAACATTTTAACTGTAATTTACAATTTAATTAGATCACGAATTTCAATTGAACATGAGACAATGGTGGAATTTTTTTTTTTTTTTTTTTCGCTCACTTTGTCTTAAAATTGAGTAATTTACTTATATTTGTTTGCATTTTACTGCAAAACAGAAGCATAGAATTTTGAACATTTACAAGAGAGGTACGGTGAGAAATTTCTGGATAATTTCCCTATCATCACAACAAGTAGGAAAAAAAAAAAGACTTAAGATAGATAACATTCTAAAGACTTCGAGCAGTGAACAGCTTATGACTTCAAGATGTCTTCAATTCTGGGTGCTTTTGAGGCATCCTCATTTTCACAGTCTTGTTCGACGGCCAAGAACTGAAACACAAAGTACAAATTTATCACTGAAAGAGCTGGCTCAATTCAGATTTTTTGGGCGTAGCAACCATTTTGATAACAGAAATCGAGGCGATCGAAAATACAAAAATTATGAGAGCCATACACATCTTCCTCAATGATATTGCTTTTGCTTTGGCATGCGATAAATCAACTCATGACTCCGTTCAGAGATAGTAACAATAAGATGCTTTTTACTGATAATTATTGGTGCTGGAAAAATGGGCAGTTGTAATGTGCAGGCTAGGTACCCCAACTGAAAGGCAGACAGAGTAGCTATACTTCTGCCTGGAGCTGATAGAACTAGAGCATAGTCATCATATATTGAGACTTAAGTCTTGCCACCACTCATCAGTGGTGCCATCTGACTGCATATATTGACCTGCTGAGTGGTGCTGATTCAGAGCTAATCAGAGATTAACATTTGTCTCAACATAAGATGACTCTTTTCTAGCTATTTCCGAGAATAGAAGCCTTATTTATCAGTATTTCATAACTTGATGCACAGATAGCTACCGACAAGGACTTATTTGAACACCCTCAAGTATGTTGCTGCATTCTACTGAGTAGAGTTATCCAAAGAGAAGATCAAGGACATGTATGAGAGCTACTATAAAGTTTTCTTCTGAAGTAATGCTCCAAAGGATATGCGAAAAATGGTTACCTTATACTGCTTGTTCCTGAATTCATCCTGTGGTATACCCTTTCGGTACTTAGTCCATGAGACATCTGGGTTCCTAACAGCTAATCGAAAAGTGTAGAAAGTCGCACCTGCAGTTGCGAGACCAATAATGGCCAAAATAGGGATCAACTGAAACATTAAAATAACATCATAGTTAATTTCATGACATACTGAAATGGTGAGGGCATACTTAAATAGAGAGTTAGATAGGTTGACTGAGTTCAACATTTACTATGCAACATGGCGCCTGCAAGAGAATGCATGGCATTGCAAGACAATTTAAGCAAATAGTGAACCCACCCCCAACATCAGATGAGAGAAATTGGTACGTACAGGCCCTGTTTCTGTAAAATGATTGAGGGTTTCAAAAAAATTATGAACAGCTCCTAAACATTTGGCTTGCCAACAAAGAAACTCCTGAGAGTTTGTGGTCTAAGTTTGGGCGTTAATCGAAGCAAATTTTGGGCTTATGGTTTCTGTTATTGGTGACATGTTTACTTAATAATTTTTTTTTTTAAAAAGAAAAAATGTGGTGTTTCAACCCCAAGGTACACTCTACTCCAGGTATGGACGAATGGAATTTTAGAAAGTCGTCAAAACGCGTAGATTTGACAGCGTCCAATGGTACGACTGCAACACCATATTGAAAACTTATTCACTTTCTATTCTGAGAGTGGGTCTCGTCAATTTTGTGTTCTTAGTTGAGTTTTTTGTTATTTTGATTTTTATCAATTTTCTAAATTCATCTGATAGCTTAATGAAGCTACCAGATCTGCTAGAACCTCATTTTGAACTGCGCGGGAAAGACGGTATGACTTGCAACATCACTCGATGGCCTATATTCTCAGTGCTGCCACTTCGGCATCCTATTTATCCATACCTGTTGTAGAGTGTACCTTGATTCAACCCTTAGGGTCTTGTATCAAAGAGACCCTAAATTAAGCAACAGCTCACAAGCACTGACAACTTAGATGTCAATTCATGGTTAAATTTACGTTATTCATCACAGAGTAAAGTAGCGGTCCAACTGGGATTCAATTATTGCATTTACCGTAAAAGAAACTGGGCAAGCTTCAGGTTTCATCCAAAAAAGGGCGATTAATCCTCCTATGCACACAATAATCCTAAGGCTCATTTATTTAAAACAAATCATTACAATATTCAAAGGATGAAAACAGGGAGAAGTATCATCAATAAAATCATCACATTTAATAAAATAATCCTTCCTGTATCTGAATGCGGTACATTCATTGTTGACAAATTCTGATTTTGTTCCTGCATGATAGTTTCTTGTTTTCTTAAAAAAACTAAACGCTTGTAAATTGAGTTAACTACTGTTTACTTTCTTTTTCCATATGGCTGTGCTTCTGCTAGTCCATAGCAACCCAGGACTGACCATCGCCCACAACACCACTTCTAAAAGTGGAAATGAGTTGATTGAGATAGACTGTGAATAGCAGTCAAAAGTAAATGAAGGCCGACCTATCTGACATGATATCTACTTAGATTCATACAAAGGGGTATACATTGCAGGTTAAGTTACGAAACTCAAAATTTGCTTCGATTGAAATTCTAATCAATGCGATGCAGCGTTCTGTCTATGCTATGTTTTGGGACTGCCATCTAACCTGAATCATGGAGGTCCACTTATGTAAGCTCTGCAGACTAAAATCATCCAGTATGAAAGTTCATTTTGCAGACAAAAATTGCCAAGTCAAGAAAACAAAGAAGCTTTAACCCAAGTAGCTCAACTGCAGGACCTACGTACATGTATGATGAAGACAAGGCACTTCGATAGAAAGATAAATACTAATGTGGGGTATTAAAAGGCTTGTTGTAGTAGTGATTAGAAAAATCTACAAGTTTACTTTTTCGGTGATAAGAAAAAAAAGTGTAGACTGTAAAAGTTGGTTCTGAGCATTGTGTACAGTTTCTGACAATAGGCAAGACCTTGTATGCAGGTCAGCTTTACTGGAGTTCAGTGTGGCATGTCCCAAATGCTTACCTGCCTTTTAGTATGAGCAGATGGGATTGTAAATCAAATAGGGAGGAAAATTATTTCGACCTCTTCAATAGAGGCAATGAGATAGTTAAGGTATGATTTGATTTGAATGACCTCCAATCGTAGAATAACATCACACTCGATTGGTATAGGGTGGAAGCCTCTAGAAAAACAATCCACTGAAAGAGGAATACATACCGATGGGTGTTTCTTGAGGTCATGCAAAGTGAGTCCTTTCATGAACGGCATTTTAGCTGATGGAAAATTGAAAAATAACACAAGATTACTGACTGACGAATGCTTTCCACAAAACCCAGCTGATTAGATTGATGGAGTAGGCAGTAGGAAGGATAAGGTCGGGGTACGGGGAAAATTGGGAAAATGACGGCTCAGATTTGACCGTACCTTTCGACCGTACCTTGACACTGTTGTCTAGTTTCTTGATAATCTGCTAAGTATAACAGTTGGATGGTTGGATCATTAGATTTTTATTGAAAAGGGATAACCTTGTAAAATCCTGAGTGCAAATTTCCCCAATGTGCAATTGCATCATTCAATGATTTTTTCTCGAATCTCGCGCAAGAACTAAAAATCATGGTTCAGAGAATTATTCATTTTTTTATATTTTAATACCATTGCCACAATCTATCTAAAGTGACAATATTCAAAGGCTGACAAGTATTAAATTCAAAAACGCTTGTGGGTAGAGGGTATATTTTTTACTAAAGAGTCGGTCTTCCGGCTTCTCTTTCATTCTTTGTTTTTAGGTTACGTTCATTTGTTTACATAAAATTCCCATGATTGTGCCATGTGAGATTCTGCAGCATTTCGCGATCAAGTTTCTATCCGAACAAATCATCCCTTTTATCTTGCCTCTAAATTATTTTAACGGCTAATAGAGATTCCGTAACTGTCCTTTCCTATCTGTTGGCTGAATAAATAGTAATTCAGCTTCTCTTATTAATGCAATTTACAAGTGACCATGTCGGATGAGGATCATGAGGACTCCGATCCAGTCGAAAAAATGTTAAAGCAAGCTGGGTGTCTTGAATTGCACTATAAAATTCAGGTAAAGAATTTTACTTCTCCTGATTTCTCTTGATCTAATAATTTTGATAAGAACTCAAAGATTTGACCATAAATCTATCCTACTAAGTACATCCTATATATTAAAATGCAAAGTTCCGAATCTTTGGGCGTTAATTTTGAGAGAACCACCGGACCGATTTTTCTGATCTTTTTTTTTAAATGGAAGCCCCTGAGCTGTAGATTTGCAGGCTGTAATTTGTTTTTCGATTTTTCGGATTTTCTCCTATAATTTTCTCAAATTTTCTCTAATGTATTAAAACAGAGGTCCGAATCTTTGGACGTTAACTTTGAGAGAACCACCTAACCGATTTGCATGATTTTTGTTTTAAATGAAAGCCTGTGATCTATAGATTTGCAGGCTGTGATCGTTTTTTCAATTTTCTCAAATACTCTCCTTTTATCGACGAGTGAAGTTTAGCTGGGCTCAAATTTTCTCCCATTTATTCAAACTAAAGTCCGCATTTTGAGACATTAACTTTGAGAGAACCGCCGGACCGATTTGCATGGGGTTTTTTTTAAATGAAAGCTTCTGATCTGTAGATTTGCAGGCTGTAATTGTTTTTTCGATTTTCTCAAATTTTCTTACTTTTATCGACGAGTAAAGTTCAGCTGTTTCGGACGGTCGTCCGGCCGCTACCTGCTTGCCCGTCCCTAGGTACCCCCCCCCTCTAGGGTCTCAGCCACCCCTCCCACCACGTTCTTTCGGCTACCTCCGTTTTCTTTCGTCTAGCTTTCCTCCCACCAACCTCAAAGAAGGAGATTTAGGTCGCATCGTCACTCGCCACCCACATTTCTTCGCAATCCCTCGGCCGCTCCGCTTCACCGCTTCCTGATATCCTGGCATCTTATTCTCTGCGGCTTGACTGACCCTGACTTATTAACTGCAGTATTGCGTATTGCTATTAACACGTATTGCTACAGACATTTTATTCATCATTATTAAATAGATTCAACTAATTGCTCCGATTCCAATAAAGCTACTGCACCACCATTGCTAGCTGTGGAGGGCGCCCGTAGGGCGCCTGGAGCAGCTAGTAATTGTATTAAAATCCTAGGGCTAAAATTGTAAGCGCCGTTTGAACCACACTGTAATGCTGTAATTTTGAGATTTCCTCCTGCATCACCTTTTAGCATGAACTTGTGCACCTTGAAGCCCCTTTTTAAATTTCTGAATACCGACCGGAAAATTTTTGCCATTTAAAATTTGCAAAATTTAATGTCATCAGTTGAGCATATAAATCAAAGACATTGAATCACGTAGACTGCGCATCCTGTGTTACGGAAGGCGAGACAACTTTTAAAAATTCGCATGCCGATGAGTGTTGGCTCCGACCCTCGCTGATGAGTTTGTGTGTCCCAATTGCACACATCTGGGCATGCGCAGTAGCGGCTGCAGTGAATTTTTGTCGGATTGTGAGGCTTTTTTTCTAGGTTAATAATTAGTTCGGAAAAATGAAACATTGCTATTCAGTTGTAAAATTATACGTACTAAAGTTTTTCTTCTTAGGAATTTTGTTTGAAAATTGACTCTAAACGAGATATTCGTGAAAAACCGAGCGCGCGAATGAATTCTCCATTGCCTCTCCGCAGTCTCTTCGTGTGCTTGGGACACACGCTCTCTCCCCTCCCCCGCCCATCCATCATGGGGCTCAGAGAGATTTGTCTCGCTCTGCCTGTACTAAACCGAGCCGGGTGCACGATCTATGTGATTCAATGTCTTTGATGTAAATGCAAACATAAGCATGCAAATATCAGACAGGTCCTGTCATATTCTGCGACAATAAGTGGCCGATGCAATGTTCAACTTTTTAGTCATAAAACTGGAATTGGGCTCTCCTTGAGACGCAGAGTAACTATTTTTATTACATCCTAGTACCTTCCTCATTTTCGCTCTGTCTCACTCTCACCTGCGCACAGTTTCTCCCTTCGCGCTTGCTTGGTCCTCTCCTGATATGTTACACCGTTTCAGAGATAAAGTAACCCAAAATTTAAATGACTCATATAGATATCATCTTGTCCTCCAAACAATAAGTAGCAATAGCATAACAATGGCTGATGTGCTAAACAGCAAAACTCCATTGATTCATAATTTCTTCTCCTAGTTTATTTTGTGGAGAGACATAAGCTAACCTTATGGTTTAAAGTTTATACAGATCATTCTGCCAATAGAGAAAAATACTTCCTCTACCCTAGGGGAGTGAAACAGTAAAAATCAAGGAAGTTTTCAGTAAATTAGATTTCTTCATTTCCCAGGAAAATAATGAAGTATGACAGGAGGTCTGCTACGTCGCTTACGAAAATACAAGGTTCAGCACTTCAGCCATCGATGGCAAATGGATGTGGTAACTGGATGGAATTTGGACATTTTTTCAGATTAAAAAATGGAAGCAAATCACTTCATTAATGCTGGGAAATGAGCCCTTAACTATTGCATCCTTTCTATCTCTAGGACAAATAAAATTAATTCGTTTTTAAAGAATCTTCTTTGTATTTGCTATTTTCAGATGTGTATAGCTGACACCAAAGACTGGCGAAAGTGTCAAAACGAAGTCAAGGATTTTAAGGAATGCATGGAGAAGTATCAGAAAAACCTAAGGAAGGAACAGTAAAAATCTTCCAAGCAACAGAGGTGCTTTTATCTTAAGATTTACAGATACTTGAAGACGACTGAAAATAATTCTACAGGGTTCATTCGCTTAAATTTGTGCGTACGATCTCTTAACAATCCAAATATTTGACCATATTTATGTATGGTGAGAAACAGAAATTAATTTTTTTGGCCCTTATATTTTTTCATTAGTAATTCAGGCATTAATGTGTGTGTGTGACTTCTACTTGGGGCAATTATTTCATTCACATGAAAATTGCTTATTTCAGTGGAATTCCTGCGTTACATAGAAAATGAACGATACCACTTATGCAATCGCAGGCTTTACTGTAGGTGTCCTTGGCACACTTGCTCTGAGAGGTAAGATTTCCCACTTCTACAATGTTGCGAAAGCTGCTGGGTCATCGTTAGGAAATTTAAAAATGGTCATAGTCATGCGCACGGATTTGCCCATGACAAATGGAAAGATTGCTTCACAAGCCGCTCACGCAGCTGTGAGTTGTTACAAAGCAGCTAGTGATTCCAATCCAAGTTTGTTGAAAGCATGGGAACTTCTAGGTCAGCCGAAAATAGTTGTTAGAACGAACAGTGATAAAGAGCTTATCACATTATCGGAAAAGGCCAAGAGAATGGGTGTCATAAATGTGTTGATTCGGGATGCAGGACGAACACAAATTCCTGGCGGCTCCGTTACTTGTTTGGGGATAGGACCAGATAAAGCCAGTGTCATTGACTCTATATCAGGGCATCTACGCCTTCTCTGATTCACTGAATTCTTAATTTTGAATGCCAAGAATTTATTGTTGGAGGAGGAAAACATGTATCCATCACATAGATGAGTTTGAAAGATCTTCGAGTTTCAAATGTGTAAATTGTTAGATTGTCTCAGTCAGCTTTAGTGGTAGGTTATTAATCTCGTAGCAGCTTTGGTTAAAACGTAACTTGCACTGTAGTTTTTTTTAATTGGGTCGTTGCAGCTGATAAAAACTTTATTCAATTAACCACCATTGTAAATCTAGGGCATTCTTTTTTCTGCTTTTTACCCATTTTGGTCAGGTTCTTTCTTCCCAGCAGTGTGGACTTAAGAAGAAGGGGCTTAACAAAGATGTTTAAATAAGATATAGGTGTGAACCTCTTTTAAATTCAGAATAACTAATGAACCATTAGAAAAGGTACAAATTTAAGCATTCTGGTATGTTCCCTCCTCAAAATGTCACGCAGAACATGATTCATACGACAAAAATTGCTCTCACTAATTCCTAACCAAGATCTTAACGTTTTTATTCAGCACTGATTACGAAAAATTTGAACTTTCAACTCTGAAGAAAAACCGAAGCCTGCATGAATCAAACCACACTTTACAAAGATTTTTGTTCCCTCCTTAATGGAGCAACATTCCTTCCCTGCCCTGTATTGCTTGAAAAGTAAACAAAGAGCCACAGCTGAGCTGCAATGCCAAGATTGAGAATGTTATATTATCTTACCCTAGAGACTATTACAGAAACGTTTTGTGTGCCATTCAACTCCATAGAGAAAAAAAAGGTGTTTCATGAGGATTGTGTACCCTGTGACGTTGGTCGGTACAACCTGGTCAGCAAAATCCGAAATTCGAAGTATGAAAAACGAACCATAACGACCGATTTTTTGCTTAAATCAACTCATGATATAATTATTAACACTTCATGTAGTATGCATTTTTTCCATAAACTACACCTTTTCCAAGAAAATCCAGAAAATCAATGATGAAAGTCGCCGTACCGACCTATGTCATCAAAAAAAGTCCAAGATGCCCAAAATGCAAACACCTCCTTTTTTTCTCTATGATTCAACTCAAGTAGATTATGGTTTCTTTTAAGATGGAGAAGTTTGAAGCAACCCATCAGAAAACTTTAACATTTGGGAGTTACTTTCAGTAACTTCGGTTGCACAAGTTCTGTTCTGTGTGAAATTGTGAGGAGAAGACATGCATCAGAATACTTAAATTCACACCTTGTCTGGTGGTTCATTCTAACTAATTTATCATCTCATCAAAGTATAACTTAAAAATCACTGAATAAATGGATAGAATAAAAAATCTGCCTTGAATTGTCACCTGACTTTGAAGTCTCATCATCAAACTCATTTAAGCATCATTGAATTGTGACCATTGAGCCAATGACCTTTCAATTTACTTCAATACAATCAAATTGTTACAGAAGAAATGCTGTAGTCAATAAAAGTTATTTTTTCAACTTCATTTTGATTCTACACCTTTTCCCTCACTGTTTTCCGAAAGAGCCTATCTTTCATAACTGTGGCACATGTAGAAAAGAAAAAGCATCAGCGCAGTTTCAAAAACGTGAAAATAATTATATTCACAATGATAATTTGCATTTACAAAGTGTGGACAGTCACTTATAAATTAGATAACCAAGCATGGATACTCTACTGGAAGCTAGGTACACACACAGCATTATCAATAATAAAATTTATAGGTTGATGGATGGATGCATACATGGAGAATTTTATAAAAATTGTATGAGAGCATTTTTACCGCTCTGATAATAAATTTTATACCCCCCCCCCCCCACCACTTAAAAAATTCCGTTTTGGATTATTTGAATTCCCTCAAAAACTTTTATCTCTTAAAATTTTTTGGTAATTTTGATCTCAATTCAATGTATTCAGTAAAGCTTGACATCAAAAGTTCTCCACTATATTCTTATTTTGTATGAAGAAATTTGGCAACGCTTGATGATTTGCACAGTTTTCTATCTTCAGCTCTGCTCTATCGCAAACTCAAAATTTTCCAGCATTGTGCTAGTCCTCTTTCAGGTTCAATTAAAATTATTGTGGGTTCCGTCCATTACTCTTACAAAATGTTTCCCGCGACTGTATCACATAATGGTGATGGGATTTCCTTATCTATCACTTTAGTTTCATTCTAAGCACTACCTATCGAGATTGGTGGCCACAGGATCTTTGCAATGGATCAACAAACAGTGTTCAAAATTAAGTATTACAATTATTATTTTCTTTTCAAAACTTCATGTGCAGAATACATGGGACAGACCGAAAAATTGTATGCAAAGTGAGGCATATTCGTAAGTGATTTATTTCTTACATTACTATACGGTAGTTCAGAGAGTTGTGGTATTTAGAAAATCTTCTGCTGGCAAAAATTAAGTCCTCAAATAGTTTGGGATAGGAATACAGTTCTTCTTCGATTAAATCATAAAGTTAGAAAAAGAACTTAACTGATAGGAAATAGAATTTACTCTTTAAATATGTAATTTGGAATAGAAACACAATTTTTCCTAGGTGAATAATGAGTAACAAAAAGAATTTAACTGTAGAAGAATGAAATGAAGATATGTTGATGACATTGATGACATATCGATAATAACCCAGATGACAGTTGTTCAATCATTTTAGAACCCAAAGGGCTCCAAAAGCAGTTTTGCTGCTACAACTTTTAACCACTTGTTAACACTGATTATACATTAAAGCAGGCAAATATTAAAGTAACAAAGACACAAACTCAAACGCTGCTTTGAAGAGATTGTTTCTCTTGGATTACAAGGGCTGAAGTTCAAAAAATTAAATCAGACCCGGATCACAAAAAAATTGAGCAACAGCTTAACTTAAGATAGTATACCTACAGTAAAAACTTACATCAAATTTCAAAATTAGAAATCTGTGATAACTTTAATGACTAGCATGAAAGACTAACACCTCCAAGGCCCTTTTTCGACATAATTGGTCGTAGGCGGGAATACCATGCAGAGGGTGAGAGATTCTGTACTTTGAGAGATTACAATGAGTGATCTGCTTTTACGCAAAATCAGACTATCTATATCAGAACCCCATTGCAGATAGTCTCCTTTTGCATAAATGCGTCCAATAGGAGATTAGATACAAAGAAAATGCATTACTTAAAAGCCTTCTATCACAAAACAATGGGAGAAAATTTTTCTAGAAGGTATGGAAAACATAGGAGAATATGAAGAACAATACCAGCATAATGAAAGAAACAAATTGTGTCTACATCAAAATCAATTTAAATTAAGCACGGTAAAAGATGAATAAACAAATTGAAAAAAATTTTCCCTTTCATGATTTTGATTTAATAAAAAATTTTAAAATAACTTCAAATATTTATTCATTATAATTTTTAAAACTAATTAATGCAAGAAAAATATGCCAGCAACTTTGATCTGAGTAGCTGAATCAAATAAAAAATTGAACTTCCTTTAAAAAAACCTATCAAATGTGGGATAAACGCTTTGCGCAAATACCATAAAAGACACCATGCATTGCTTTAATATTCGACTTAAAAATTAACTGTATTAGACAAAACAGCTTATATTGAAGAGAAATAATAAAATCATCATATTTTTCAACACCTGTATCATCTAGATTCCAATCTTCGAGTAAAGTCATAAATCCAGAGGGCCAATCACTTAAATCCGCAAAGCACACTACCTTCCATAATCTGTTCCTTAAATGATCGTTTCGTGATCTGTTAGTCATGGGTTTAAAAACATTACCGTAAATTTCACTTCATAAATTTATCCAGTTCAAATTTATAAGTAGATGTGGAAAGTAATGAAACCAATATGCATAAATGAGTGAGTAAAATAACCTTCAGTCGAAAAAAAGCCTGGAGCATAATAATCTAAAGAAAACAATAATTGCATTTATGCTAGGAGAAGTAGTAATTGACCACTTATAACTAAGACCAGGAAATATGTCAACGGATGATGAGTTGACTCCAAAAAATTTTAGCACCAGCACTTAATTAAAGAATGAGTACATACACACTCCTGGAGGTCTTGGTGTTAAAGTATAACAAGTTTTGGCCACTGAGAGAAATCAAAATGGAGAAGAGTTTTGTTCCACTTCGACTTATATAAAATAGCTATGGCAGAGTGTTGCCTATATATTCTAATAAAAAAAAATAATAAATTGTAAAAAAACACAATTTTTCTGAACAAAGGAGCTCTTGCATGTCTGAGGGATTTGCAATTTAAGTGCTTTTCTGTGCATAAAATTTTTTGAAATACGATAAAGCCACTGGTTTTCTCTGAAATGAAGTCCCAAGCTCAAGAAAAGCTCTCAAAGTTAAGGCTTTAATTGAGGGAATTGCCGACATTGTAGTGAGAGTTCACCTCTGCTCAGTCAAACGTCCATATGCATAGATGGGGATGGATACATTGGCAAAGTTGCCACTTTGTGTGGGGACTCCGAAGCTACGGCCACTACAACGCTGTTCATGTATTTGCTCCCTATCAGCAAATGGAGAGTTTGACTAGATATTGAGGTGGACTCTCACCATAACATATGCTACCTATTCCATTATGGCCTCAAATTCAGAGGCGGATCCAGCAATTTGGCAACATCGGATTTCCTCTATTTAAACCTATGCTAAATAATCGATTCTTGAGGGAGCACCTAGCCCCTCCAAGAATCGATACATTTCCATAGGTTTATATGGAGAAAAGACAATGTTGCCAATTTGCTGGATCCGCCAATGCTCAACTTCAAGAGCTTTTTTGAGCTTGCCACTTTGTTTTAGAGAAAACCAGTGGAAACATCGTGTTTCTTATAAGACTATACCTAGTTCAAAGTACTTAAATCGCATATCTCTATATTATGGAAAAATTTCATTGTTGGACAAAACAAGATTCTGTTCAGAACTAGTGCTTTACATAAATGCACTAGATAACTAGTGATATATGCTAGATAAAAGTAACTTAAAGTATTTGGATGGTAGCGGGCATCAATGAAGGCAAACATTTGGGGGGAAAGAATGGATGTCATATATGAAAACATAAATTCACTTGATGAAAAAATGATAATGAGGCTACAAAAAGCTAAGTAATGTAATTTTTTTCTGTTCATCGAAAAGACACAACATAAAATCATTTCTGTGATAATTCTTGTATAGTTTAATTGAGCTATCTCAGGCTTCCATTTGATGGTATAAAGTAGCACAGAAGCTTGAGGGTTTTCAAAACAACTAAATTATTTGAATTCAGTAGAACGATGCCTTTTGAAATGCGATGCGTTTGCATCTAGACTTTCTACAATAAAGAGCAACATTTTTTTAAAAAAAAAAAAAAAAAATTAAAGCTACATTAATTAATTCTCATAGAGATTTTTGTAGTAAAAAACAACTTCAATTGGTTAGAGCTAAGAAACAATTGTGAAGGATAAACTCTTTAGGGGGAAAAATCAATCAATTTTTCATCAGTAAGTGCAAGGAAGACCTAATAAAGTTTAAAATCAATTGTTCTTAACTTCAACTGATGGTTAAGACATCAAAAAAAAATTCTTTAAAAGAAAAAAGATTAGGATGTTTAATACATATTTACACTTCTCAAATTTTAATAGTCTTAGAACAAAATAAGAATTTACATGCATCACACTTGGATGAGTTAGAGTTTTTTGCGACCTAAAGCTCTGTGAAAACTAACTGGTTTACAAAATGAGAACAAAAAGTTCTGTAAGTACTTGTGAGAAACTATTTTTGTGATGTTGTGAAAATTTTAAGGTCCAAAAAGTTTTTTATAGTAAAATGAAAACTGTATGCCTTTCTGCCTTTTATGAGGGGTTACAAGAATGTCTTAACCCTAAAAGTAGAAATTAAACAACCCCTCCGGAGATCTGCTCTAAAACTGATAGCATATGCATACGCAATACTACAATCTCATCACAAGCAATTTCAAAATATCTTTGGACTACCACGGTGAAGACAAAATGAATCTTTCCAGACTGATTTCTGGTCCAGATGTGCAGGAGACTTGCATTTCTTATATGAGCGAGACCCGCACGTGCCATTTGAGAGATGATAAGATGGTAATACATATCGGCCAAAGCACATTTCAAATGTTTTGTACTTCAAGCGGTAACCTTATTGAATTCTAATGGTTGCGACGATGAGTAGTGATTGATAATGTGTGGAGCTTCATTGAATTCATCCAGTTCATCTCCTGGATCGATAGGATTTGCAAGAAGAAAGTATTGTTCGCTCCTGGCAGGCCATAGCAAATGCGTCATGATGCAGTATGCAAGGCAATCTGCACTGTAAGTAATACCTATAAAAAAATGAAGAAATTGATGCAATTAAGAAAAACAAGTATTCAAGTTTGCAAGATAATAATAATTCAATTCTTGCTCCACCTTATTCATGCATTTATTCTGAAATATGAGTAAATGAGTTTAAGTTTAGACAGAATCAAACAAATGGTTCATAATGTGGACTGTACATGTCAGGTTTTTTGGGCGATTGTAAACATATTTTCTCCTGCCTGATCACCCTGAGATGTTGAAAAGGGTGAAAAAAACTTACATTCTGATCATTACATTATATTAAAATAAGTTTAGTGTACTGCGGTGGATGACGTCATACACCTTGGTTTTTGAAGAGCAGTATATCTGTTAGTCTTGGATATAAAAACAAGCCCTTTGGACGGATCTTATTATTTTTTGCTAAACTATAATCTTATACCATCAAAGCAAGATTCTGCAACTAGTGCAACTGAGCCGTTAAACTCTTCCTGCAATCTTTTTGGGCTGTATTGATCCAGGATTGCCACAGAATTGAGAAAATGAAATTCTCTGACACATTTTGGTAAAATTCCCTGAATATTGAGGATATGCTGAATGGTTAAAGAGACAATTTGCAATAGTTTTCAGACAAAATTTGCTGTTAAAAATGTCAAACTCATTCTGAACTAATAGCTACAGCTTTCTTTTAGTCATAGCAGGGATTATTACTGTCTTGCGAGTTGAGTCTATAGAGACTCAGACTCAAGCTCCGTCTTGGAGAGCGAGATCGGCAGTCGAGCCATGGATAGACTTGAGTTCGAGGTGCTGGTCTCCCACGATGCTTTTGGGCAGTCTCAGACCACTAGCCTCAGACCAGGCTTCCTCCGACGTCTGTATCAATCCACAAGATCGAGATCCTTTGTCAACAGATGAAGAGACTCAAGCTGAATGGTGCCTGTGCCCAGACAATGCTGGCAGTGCGCTTCTACTGCGGCGGGGAATTCTCGGTTTCCGTCTTTTCAGAAATCATCCTCACCATAAACCACATGCATGTATATCGACTTGCGACCTGCCTGTAACCGGTGCCATCCCTGTAACACTCCCACCGTCCACTTCCGAGATGTTCCCATGAACGCGCAGCCGAATTCGCCGGTCAGCCAGCCCTTCTCTAGCGAGTCTATTTTGTCGTTAAGATCGGACCCAGTCTCTCTCCAGAGAGTCTATAGCTGCAGCTAGTTTGCTCACAGTTTCGCCTAGAGGGTGAACTTGATGGATTGAGACCGATTTCGGTCTTGCGCAAAAGGTAGACTTGGACCAGAGGGTGTGCACCCAGTCTTGCTGACAAGAGATTGTTCCTGCATCGAGTTCACCTGCTTCCTCAACTCCCAATCCCTGAGTCATAGTTATGAGAAAGATATGAACTGCTTAGTCATTTGTAAATACTCCTTGTTTTAATTTGTATGTAAAGATGCGTATATTTCTTAAAGTGAAGAAGCTCACAATAAATCAATAGAAAAAAAAATCCCATTCTAGAAAGCAAATACAGGTGACTTGACATTTTATCCTTGACATTTTCCGGTTTTCCATGACTTGGAGAACCCTGCAAAATTAGTAAAATTTGGTTCAATAAAATCCATCTGACATTGTTGGCCTCATTTTCATAAGTGAACGAAAGAAAAAATAAAAATTTGGAAACATACCTAAAAGTAGTTTAAATCTCCAAAGAGCAGGAATTTGGAGAGCGATCACAGCCACGATTGGGAGATAAATAAACCAAACCAGTGCTGAAGCACCAAAATGGAGGAAAAACTGAAGCTTGGCAGTGTTGTGCTCATAAAGCATGGTTGTTTTTAACTCCATTAGAAACCAAACAATGATAGCACACCGAAGGACCAAAATGAACCATCCAGGCCAAGTTTGGTATTCGTCGATGTCTTCAATAATGTCCACCTCAGTCTGAAAAAAAAGCATCACTCTAATGAAGGTTGAGAATTTCAGGCAGGGGTGTGGAATATCACAACTCTGTGTAACATTAAAAAGGCTTAAAAAGTTAGGAGAGTTTTGGAAGTTTTTTTCATTGATTTTAATATTATTGGAATTTTTTGCACCTACATCGAACAAATTACGGACAGTCCAAGGATTTTTGTTGTTTTTTAAAAACAGGTGTGAATGTTCCAAGATTTTTAAAGCCTCTTAAATCTTCCTTATCATGTAGAAAGATTTGATATTTTCCTAAGTTTTGGGCTAATTCCTGAGTTTTCAGCAAAATTTTTACTTCAGTTTCTGGCAAGCTTGGATTCAAATTGCCCTGACTTATCAACAAAAAAAAAAAAATTTTTCAGAATCTATCTTGGCAAGATCTTGAATTTTCAACATTTTTCCCTGAATTGTATAACATTTATAAATAAATAAAGTAAATGAACTTCGTAATCAGCAATAGAACGGAAAACTGAATGGACCATGAGGTAGGATCAGAACTTGAGCACTGCAGTACAGGTTTCAACAAAATCTGGGGAACAAATTGAAAATTTCCTGCAACTTCTGCATCAGACTGTTCAAACTTTTTACTTTCCACTAATCAGAGTCTACTTGAATTATATCAGGCAGTTTCACAATGGTATATTCTCCCTCTATAATTTTGAATTATATTCTTTTCCTATATTACAGTTTTCCTCGGCAACTTAGGAGATGTTCTGTACATTGAGGTGTTTTTGTGAAATCAAGCCTTGGTCATTAAAGGCAGTTCGGTTTCAATGACCTATTTAATCTACTTTAGTTTTTTTTTTTTTTGGGGGGGGGGAGGGAGGCAAGAAGTCTAAAGTTGCTGATTATAATGCAAAATATAGACGCTACTATCACTTGTGATCTGATAGTAGAAATATTCTCAACGTTTGCTGTTGCTGCATGAAATTTGGCTGAGGAAACGTATCCTAGAAAGAATCAATTTTTATTCTATGTCCTGATCCATTTGAAATCAGTGGTTCAATGTTGAAATGATAGGATTTTCAATTTCTGAAAAATTGGTCTCACCTTATTCCAAACATAGAGAAGGATGTGAACAACCCCATAAAGAACCCAAATAAAGAAGACTACAGGTTTCCACGTTAGCTCAATCCTCGTCACAGCCCACCCTTTGGCGAGCAAAAGAAGGAGTAGCATGAAAGTTGTCTGAAAAATATTTAAAAAAATCAGTGAGAGATATAATAAAATTGCTGAAAAATCCTCAAGTTATTCTTATCAAAAATACTTCGGAGGTCAAAGAAGAACACACATGGCACCGATATTGAGAGAGGAAAGTGTTAGAGTAGAGATGTTCTGCAAGAGCTCGACGGAGGTGTCCTATCTTACACACTAAAGGAAGAAGGTGTTTCAAGAGACTCCATAAGACCTTGAGGAAGGCCCTCTCAAAGCAGCTTGGATGACATGAGAAGATTGCAATGGACCACTGAACAGGGTACAAATTTAAACATTCTGATATGTTTTCACTTAAAAATTTCATGTAGAACCCAATTTCTGCGATAAAATTCACTGAAATTAACTCCTAGGTCATTCCATACCAAATCCACCAAAAAATTACCAAAATTTCCCAGACAATCTTAGATTTTGATGAAACTTGGTGAGCAAAATGATCCATATGATGGTATGAAAATGCCCAAATTTCAGCTCTCTATGACCAATAGATCTGGAGGTACAGGGGCTTAAAATTGCGCAGGGCTAGAACTAGCCAAGATATTGACGTGTTTCTTTACTGTTCTCATTGACGTTCTTGTGGTTACAGACAATTTGAATTTTCTGCTCACAAGAAAAACCAAAGTCTACATGAATCACCCACTACAACGGTTTTGACAGGCTCTTAATTGATGATGTTCGAAATGTTAACAACATGCAATAGCCTAGCCCGAGCCCCAAGATTGAGGTTGTCATAATTTAAAACTGCAGAGACTGATAAGGTAACATTTGGTGTGCGATTCAGATTCAGTATATAAAGGTGTTTTTATGAGCAGGAAGTTGGAATTAATGCATTCAACAATGGTAATATATTGGTTAGGGGTCACGTTCAATAACTTTTGTCAAACAAATTGTGTTCTACACAAAACTTTATAGAGAAAACATACATCATAATACTTAAATTTGCACCTTATCAAATAGTCCTCTTTGATGCGCAATAATAAAAAATACTGGATTAATTCGAAGAGGATTTGGTCCCTCACTGACAAATAAATACTTGCAACTTCAATTTGTAGGAATAAACTTGAAAAAAAAAAAATTAAGGGGATGTTATAAAAATAATCAATTTTTTTACCCGAGATAAGATATCCAAAGTATCTCCTAAGATTAATAGAGGAGGAAAGCCTTCTCCATTGGATGAGTATCTCAGTGCATCAAGAAGATTCAGGCTCAATCCAACAACCTCCATTAACAGCGACACAGTGAAAAGCCGTGTAACAGGATGTTTTTGCCTTGAGACTGCATATAATTGCAGGGGCAAGAGTAATGAATAGATGACAAAAAACAACAAATATAACTCAACAGTATTCTGAAAAATAGAGAAAAATAAATTAATTACAATGATGAAAATGAACTAAAAATACAGCCTTACTCCTCCCCCCCCCCTCCCACACATACACACAAAAAAGCTAACATCTCTTTACTTAAATTTTTTGAAATTTACCAAAGAGAAAATAAGAGCTCACAATGAATAGAATAAAGAATTTGGTAAGCTCAACAGAAGTGTTAAACCTCCTGTTATATTGAACCAATTTTGATCAAAAAATATGTCCAACCATGTAGGGTAGGTACCAAAAAATAAAAAACCCTGAATTTCATTATTGCTCGCAATTCTGCTTGTTTAAGAAGCTGGCAAGAAAGTGGCTAGCAAAATGACAAGAAAATTTCTTGGCAAGTTTAGTTAGAGAAATTTTAAAATTATGAGCCATGATTGATAAAAGCGCCCAATTTACAGTTATCATATTGTCCTCTTACCACATATTTATTGATACCTATTTGGAATAAAACAATTTCAATACTAACCTGTCTTTCAAAAGAAAACTGATAGGTAAAAAATAGGCTGTATGCTGTATTATTGGGATTCCCATTGACAAGCCATAAATCGTAATGCAATTTCTTGTTTTCTTTGAAGTGATGCCAAGTGCAAGAGGTCCTATTGAAGTAACATGCTACCAAACTAACATACCAAAACCTGGTGGAGTAAAAAAAAAATAGCTAAAGATTAAAAGACAAAAAATAAATATGATAACTTGAAATTATCAAAGCTATCAGCCTCAAAATTACATGATTGGCAGAATTCAGGGTTGCTGACACCACAACATAGGAGATGGTTATGTGATTGCTTATCTAAGTTCAGGCTAGACAGTGACAAAGTTTTGTTTTAATGAGACAAAACTTTTTATACTGTATTTCTCAAATTCCAAGACTAATCCAACACATAGCTTAGAAGGTGTTTTGATTAGAATTGATAACTTCAAGAAACCCCAGCCTCCAACTCTTTCTGTCATTGTATTTGTATTACTGACTAGAAAGAGATTCTTTCATTCTTTTTATTCAACTCACAATCAGGGGCGCCATATGAGTGCGGTAAGAGCTGCCCGGTAGGGGTGTTCAAACGAATTCTTGCCGGATCGCTATCGATATTGTCTCTCATTGAAACTGGCAGCAGTACCAGCAGTGGCGATGATATCGACAACAGCTGGCCTTATCGGATTTTTTAGAGCTCGCAATCAATGCATTGTTGCATGCATTGTGTCGGTTTATCAGATTGCCTGGCGCAGCGGCGCGTAAAATAGATGTACAAATGGCAACAGCTTATTTTTGCCAGCTCCAAAAACTCTGATCACTATCGGCAAGAGCACTCTTATTGTAAATTTTTCTTAACAGAACTGTTTCGGTAGCTTACTGACAACCGATAGAACAGCCCTACTGCCCGGCCCTGCGCTTTTGACTTGATCCGGGTAAAACTGCCCGTTAAGTCTCATAGTTCTTGCCAATTAAGTAGACGAACTTTGGAGTAAAAATAAAGATCTGCCATCTTGAATCTTGCACATGCTTTTTAGGTAAAGACGAAAAACGGCAGATTTGCTTTCATACTAAAGCTCTACCAAGTTGTTTGGCGTGCTGTCTCAATTAATTCTAAAGAAAAGGAGACGAGAGGTGTTTTTCACGATGTTCATTGCGAATAAGTTGAATACCTTGGCTGCTGCTGCCGACTGATCTTGAAAGTAAGCTGCGAGTCTTTAACGACATAAGATGAGGGATCTTCGTCTATACACAGCTGCCCAGCAGGACATGGTACTCTCCGTAGGTAATCAGCTCCACGCTTGTTGCAGACTTTGTCAAAAGCTGTTTGATTAACTTTATGGAACATCAGTTTGCATGCCTGCTCCTTGTCAGCTACAGTACGGTTTCCATAATACTCCAAGAAGTATTCTCTGTCCAGCAAAGCAAGCGTAATCGGAACGGAGAAAGTTTCGGAGGAACTTACATTGCCGTAAATAAAACCAGACGATTCATCCGGGTGTTGAGAATCTGTCTTCTGAACACCGAACTTGGATAAGAAAAGAAAAAAGTCCTGGGTATTCCAGTCTCCCTTCACATGCACACCATTGATCGTACCGATTAAGCTAACACAAAGGCAGAATTCCAAAACAAAATGACAGTATTTGAATTCAGATAAGAACATCGTACGACATGTAAGTTATAACCTAACTTCGGGGGGAAATAAATTCCAAAATTAACGATGTCAAATAAAAGACACACGACTATGGATCTGCTCGACACGCATACCCACCGTAATAATATTCAATACTCCGCGTTCACTATAAAAGAGATTAAAAGTTAATTAGGTGTAAATAGCCGAAAATACAGTCCCAGAAATCCACTTCATTTTTGAGGATGTCATTTCAAAACATTCCACGTGATAGAGAAAGAATTCCAAGGACTTGCACTGCAAAGAACTTTTGCGGCTTACACGCTAGAGGTCATTACTTGTCATTATTCAGTAGCACTGTAATAAGATGTGTAAAGGGATCCATTATCGGATGTTTGCTTTAAAGGAAGAGACATGTCCTTTTAATGCGTAGTTATAGTTACATTCCTCTAACAAAAATAATTCTTAGTTGCCGAACTAGACCGGAAGTAAGGAATTTTTCAGAATCACTTTTAATTTGCCTTCAATATTTAAAGTGGCAATTGTTGTTACATAAAAATTTGTTCTACGTATTGAAACCTAACATACTAATGCATTCTATCATACTGTGCATGAAGTATAACTTGAATGAGTCGCACACAGAGGCCGTTAGTAGTCTCTTCAGCTGATGAACAAACATTGTAGCATGACAGCAGCATTTCCACAAGTTTTTCGCACTTCGGGTCCCTGATTGTGTCGGTCGGTGCTTTTGTGATAATAAAAGTTGTGTTAAAAGTTCAAGTTTTCATCGGTTTTTCTATATTTCCTTTAATTTAGCGCACCGTTTACGACTGCGTTACATTTGAGATTCTTCTGTACTCACTCTCTTAAATTTAAGTATCTTAATACCTTTCATGCTCTAAAATATTTTGTGTGCTCGTCTCTCAGACTTCCCAAGACTTGCAGCAATTTTTACTACGATCTCCCCACAATTTAAACTGCAATTAGGATGCATTGTTCTTTGTCATCTCTTAATTTCAGTCTGCTTTCGGAAACTATCCCCGTTTTCTCAACCAATTCGTCATTGTGAATTTATCGAGTAAGTTGTCCCAATTTTCTTTGTTTACCTAGAGCTTGCTTGTGATTCTAACCTCTTGTCTCTGGGCTATTTCAGGTTCAGTTGGGGATAATTCCTATCTTTCATGAGCAGAAATAATTAATCATGGAGCTTACATTGAACAAAAATAATTTTAAAATTTTACCTCTTCAGTAACCCGATTGCAATCCTCACTACAAACTTAAAGAGATAAGCAGTAAGTGGATTTAGCGAATCATGGAGGCTGCCGAAGAGCAAAACGTACATACTCTCTTTGTCTTCTTTCGTCTCAGGGCCACTTTCTAACCTTTGTCATTTTGCCAAATTTTCTCAATGTTTCCTAATATTTGTATTTTTTCTCTCTACCCCTCTATATCCATTTACTTACCTCAATGCAAAGCTCGTCATTCAATGGATCCTCTTGCGATGCCAAACTTTACTTGAGTCCATCCTAGTTTATTCTTATAACAGAATCCTCACATCCTCTTTTGAAGTGTCTTTTCTGTCTTGCCTAGGTTTATGAACCTAGCTCTCTTTACCTCACAAATTCATCAATTTAAGTGAACTATTCTTCATATTATTCATCGTGGGGTATTATTTTTGGAGAAACACTTACTCAAATTGTAAATAAACTCTTCTCTATCGACTCATAATGTACCTGGGATTAGGTCACATCTTTCATGCTTGGCAATAAATGGTTCTTTTGACATTCCATAAGAAAAGCACCCCATACATCTTTCATTCATTCATGGTCAAAAAGAACCGAAGCAGGTAAATCTTGCAGATGATTAGGTGGAATGATAAGGGGATTACTGAAGGCTAATCAAAAACTTATGTCATTAATTCCTGTTATTTTGTCTCTTAATCTTTATTTCAGGTTATTCAGTTTTGAAATCCAAATCCTCATCTAATTAGCACAATGTCTCTGAAACCAAAGCGAGTTAACTTCCAAGAAATTTGGGAGAACTTAGAGGACACCATGAAAGGAGTGATAACACTAGGCAAAGTGCCTCGGAATATTTGGAACGACAGATTCAGGTAATTCAGTTTTTGAAGATTAAATTCTCTACTACGACAGATGCATATATTGATGGATAGATGGACATATGCATATTTTTCCCTTTTATACAGGGTGGGCCAAAAGTTCCAAGATCGCTGGCTAACTTTTGAATGGATGCACCTAGGGAGATAAAATTTGGATAAACCTTTGGACGGAGGCCCATTCCTTGCTGGAGAGAAATCCCGAGTAGACAGAAGAGGAGAGATGGTACCATTAGGTATCTTTGAAATGTCAATTAGTTTCTTTAATGAAATTTGAATGCTGATTGTCGAAGTAGGATCCATTCAGGATGAAGCAATCAGGCCTCAGATCTCCAAAATTTGTTTGGCCTCTAATACCGTTCCAAAATTGAATAACTTTAAAGTACTCCTACTGAGGAGTTACTTAAACCCAGTGTTTGTTTCTGTAAATTTTTGAAACCAGGTGTATTTCAAACTTTGATCAAGAATAGTTATAATAATAATAATAATATATTTATTAATGCAACAGCCTCATGAAATTCATACAAATTTATGAGCTTAACACTCGTCAAATAATTTAATGGAACAAAATTTAACATCAAATAAATGTAACAAAATTTTAACAAACAAGTAAAAAAAAAAGAAAACAGTAAATGAAGAACTAAGACTTAAGACTTAGGGGACTACATTCAGGCAATTTAGGGATTGGGGAGATTTGCGTCGAGATATTCTTTTAACTCGTAAAAAGGGTTTTCTATGAAGTAATTTTTTATGTTATTTAGGAATAGATTTGAATTTTCTGATTTAATGAAAAGTTCTTTTAATGGCTTGGGAAGCTTGTTAAAATATCTGATACCTCTGCTTTCTAAGCTATCCCAGTCTACTTTTTCCCCCCGTTTTTTTTCAATTTTTGCTAGGATATTTCTGGTTTGTATTTGATTATTAGTAATTAATTTTTCTTTGATGATGTAGCCTAATTTAATTGATTCCTTTATTGTTGAATATATATACCTAGAGAAGACAGTTGTTTGGGAACAGATAGTTAAAGAGACTTGTGTTTTGAACTGGAAGGTTTTCCTTTTTTATCCTCTCTTAAATGGTGTACCGTAAAAGTGGATTTGAACATTTTTGGTTAGGGTCTGCGTAGGCACCTGAAGATGGGTGGGCCCCTAAAATTTTGTTTAACGAAAAAGTAGCTTCTAATGACCTAGAAGAATTCTGTAAATTTCATATGTTTAGTGAGCCCATTCATAAATTTGCTGGCCACCCTGGAAGTTATGACGCACCCTGTATTTTGATCCTGAAACTTTTGCTGAACCACAACTACCTACCACACTACAAACACTAGTGTCGTGACGCACTACTTGATGAAACATCAAACTGCAGTAGCTTATAGGTACCATGGTTTCTTTCACTTTGAATTCTCCAATAAAATTAGTTTTACACATATTTGCGCTGGTTGCTTGACTGAAAACACGGATGAAACCAAGGTGGAAGAAACCATGGTATGCACCACTCACTGTCGATGACTTCACAAGCTGTGTTTTTTGAAGGGCAGTATTTTCTTTAATATTGGACATGGAAACTTTGTGTGTAGGCGGGTCTTATTATTTTTGATGATCTATAATCTGAAATAACGATAACACAATTATGTGATGACTGCACCTGTCCTGACCCATTACCATATCTCGATACTTCTAATTTGTTCTTGTTAATTTTGTTTTCTTACTTTTCCTATTTTTAGTGACATTTATGCATTGTGTGTTGCTTACCCGGAACCGCTTGCTGATAAATTATACGACGAAACGAAAAGCTTCTTAGATAATCATGTGAAATCTCTCAGAGATGACGTCTGCGCTGAAGGAGAGCAAGGTCTCTTGAAAAACTACCATCAAGCATGGTCAGAATACAGTCAAGGAATCAACTACTTGCACAGGCTGTTTTTGTAAGTAAAATGGTGGATGCATTTTGATCTCAAGGCTTAGTCCTATGTTTAAGCAGGAGTACAGAAAGCTCTAAGCCTTTGTCCAAATTCAATCAACCTTTTTCCATTTTTATACAAAATTCATGATTGTTTCCCCCTGAAAACAAGGAATAAGAACTTCCTCATAGCACCCAACAAATTGGACTGTTTTACTGCTAAAACGCCCTATTTGGCGTGGGGTTCTCTCACTTCTTACCATTGTCACAGCGGTTCCTCGACGTCCCAAGGCCAGTACACAACTAGTCCGTGACAAGTTGGGGAAATTTCTGCACTTCTATGCTAAAGTACGTACAACACTTGTGTCTTCAGGGATTTTAAAACTCGCTTGATTCAAATTCATCCTGTATAATCAGTATATTGCAACCAATTTTTTTATTTCATCCATAAATTATAAGAGTCATTTTGTTAGCAACCCTAATTTCTAAGAGCTGGAAAGAATTTTGATAATGCTGCAGGAAATTTTATCAGAAGGAAGGATTCAATAGAAATCAAAGCAGTGTCATTTTTTAGTTTCTTCTCTTAGTAATCGGCCTTTAACTTTTGACCTCAGAGCCCAATTTTCAAGTACATTTTGGTGAAGTTAAAATACTGTCTTCTACATCTAAATAAAACTGCAATACTCAAAGACTTTACAATAGACCTCAAAAATTTAGCAGTAGCAACTGTGCCAAGGGATTTTGAGAATATGTGATACCATTCATTTAAATTGAAAGATCAGAAAAACACCAATTTTACGTTTATCTCAAATGTTACTTTGTTTAAAAGTAAGATGAAAGAGAGAGAGAGAGCTATGCCCAAAAGAAATTAGTATTTTTATCTCTGATGGGCTACTTTAGTCGACTTGTAATTGGCTCCAATTTCTCTGCTTACTATCTATTATCCACAACTTCCTCCCCCTTCTTTCACTTCTCCAATGGTATTGAAGAAAAACCCCCACTGCCTCCAACCCAAAGTCTTCAACCTCAGTATTCTGATCATGGTCACACAGTTCAATTGCACCTCTCTCTTTTCGCCCTGAAAAAGGCATATGTGTAACCTGTAATCAATAGGGTCAATCAATAGATGATGGACCATTCAGGGAAAGGTCCCATGTCCTTCTAGTGTTGCTAAGATTGTGCATTGCTGATTTTCATCTCCAAGACAAATGCTCTGGACTTGCCAGGAAGTATTCAGGAAAAACATCTCACAAAATTAGAATATTTTAGAGGGCGAACATATGTAAATGGAAGCATCTCGTTGAAATCGAATTGCATTGAGAGTTGCTTCATCCTAGAAGTGTCAAAAGTATACTGATGTTGACAGCTCTATACCACATATTTTGTTTACTGTGCTTTCTTTTTATTTTCTTGAAAATGCAATGATTCTGTGAAGTCAGCTCTGCATCGCCAGCTAATCTGGATCTGTTCAATTTCGACAGGTACCTGAACCAACAGCACATTAATAAATCTAGATTGTCTGATGCCGAAATTATCTACGGAAATATTGGTGAAAATCAAGAACAGATGGAAATCGGTGAACTAGGTATATTTATTTATCAAGCAGAATTTAGTAGTATTTAGTAGAGTACCTTTATAGACAGAGCCATTTCTGTGCTCGTTTTTCATTGGTCCCGAGCAAATTGGCGGACACGATTTTCTTACGGCCGTAAATAAACTAACAAGATGGCTGTTATCAGCAAGCAAGTTTAAGGTTATGCACATCTTACATCCTTCTGTGATAAAGGTGAAAGGCGATTTGAAAAATAAGTAAGAAATACTGAAACAGCGTAATCAAGATTTGCTCCTTTATGCGAGAAACAACAAATCATAGACAAGCACACTGTCACATGCCTATACCTGCTGCATCCCTAAATGACAACTGTACTCATTTCAGAACTGGAGAAATGTAACATCCCGGCTGAAGTTAGCACCACAAAATGTGTCTTTGAGACATTTTCTTGAGTTTTAAGATCATAACTTGTGGAAAATAAGAATTATCAGTTTACATTGTGATATTAACTTGTCATTTGTGCTTGCCCAGCATTATCTCAAATTCATGTTTGCAGCCATGCACCAATTTTTGGTACTGTCACCAAAAAGTAAAAATGTATTTTATAGAATAAAATATCATTTGTACAAGGTGGAGAAAAGTGTGAAAATTTCAAAGCCCTCGTGTTTCATGATTATTCTCTGTAGGTCTAGACATCTGGAAACGAAAGATGATTGAGCCTCTCAAAGAAAAACTGTTAAAGCTGCTTCTGAATGGAATCCATCTCGATAGGATACACAATGCACAACAAGATTTAAATGCAGTGATTCGAGGCGTGATTGACTCTTTTGTCAGTGTACAAGAGTACAAGAAAAAAGGCAACTTGGATGTAAGTATCTCCGTACAAGAATTGGTTTTTGGGAAATGATTGATGTCAATACTTATTTTTTGGAATAAGTAACATGAAACGGAACGTAATGAAATTGCTTTTTCAATTCATAAGTGCCTCTGCCTACTTTTATCAGTTTCATACTGATATTAGCCTTAAATATCATCTGTTGATTTCCTTTCACTTCCCACAAATATCAAATAAAAGTCATTTCAGGCCCCAAATTTGGTTATTACTCACATAAAACAAATGAAGCTATTGCATTGGGACTCTTGCAGACTTTTGCTATATTTAAGACAGAGTTTTCTTTTACTTGACCCATCCACATGTATTACATGTGTGCAAGTGTACTTGTCATGGCACATTTGGGACATATATGCATTGACGAGTTAACTTGCACCCATTGCATCATCTCCTGGCATTGCTAAGCGATTTTTTTTGTTGTGTTTCTCCGACTTCCGGATAGACAGCGCTATTAGCATTTTTCTATATGTCCATGTGGAGTATTCTGTCGCTAACCGGAATGAATCCTAGTGATTTGTTCTTCATATGAAGCAATAAAGTATTTTTATTGGGAAACATCATTGTATTTCTAGGTGCGGCAGACAAATTAATGATCGCATGCGAATGAGTTTAAATCACTCAAAAATCAAGATGAGTGCATCGGTAAAGTCTAAAATATTACTTCTTAGCTCTTAATTTACATGAGAAAGAAATAGTTTTAAAAACTGTTGGCTTCTCAAAGTACACTTCAGCAGGGAATCAATTTGATAAGTTATATCACCCTGCTTTATCCTCAACATTGTGACTTTTTGTAAGCTAGCAATAAGAGAAAATGAACCCTTGAAAAATTCAGGAAAACTAGGGGTTGTCTAAATGGGTGGCTAATAACTAGCTGCATTTCTGCCAAGGAACAAGATAAATGCCTGTGTCTCCCTAAAAATTATTTTCAGTTGCTGGACAAAAGTGTTTGATTCTGTGTGCTCTGTATAGTATACCTTCTTTCCTTTCATTTCAGCTATACCAAAAAATCTTCGAAGAGCCTTTTTTAGAAGCAACCGGCGAATTTTACAAGTGTGAAGCAAGTAAACTTTTACAGGAGTACACCATCTCTCAGTACATGGAAAAAGTCATCCAAAGATTACATGAAGAATCTTTGCGCTGTAAACGATTCCTTCATCTAAGGTAAAATTAAAACTCTTAAACCTTATTCAGCTTCAAACAACACACATACCCTCCGTAAACAACCAATTTATGCAACTTAAGTTGATTTCCAAGGAACAGTTGATAATTTAAATAGGTATGTTAATTAAGTCGTAAAATCGTTTTTCGGTGATTAATGGCTGTGAACTTCAGCAAGAGGAGATTTGCTCAAATGCCTTTTTCCCTTGTTTAGGAACAGTGGCAATTTTGCTCAGCAAAGAAGACAGTGATTGACTTCATTCAATATAGTAGTATGTACAAAAAGTTGACGGTGAAACTCCAAAAATGCGTATCTCGATTTTTGCCGTCGTAGACCTCCTGTCATACTTTATTTTCTACGTAGAGAATTAATAAACGTCATTCTTTGAAAACTTTGGTAATTTTTCTTCTCCATGTACAAAATATTCTGTAAAAATTTCAAGCCATAGTGTTGGTGCCGTGTATTTTCAAAGAATTAAGCAGGAGCCGAGATTTTGAAATAGCACAACTAAGATACGCATTTTTGCAGTGTCACCATTGAAATGCCTTAGTCTTGAAACAATTTATCAATCAATGATTCACTACTTTGCACTGATTACTTTCCATATTGCTACTAAAGCCTAAGTAGAAGAAATCAAGGTTTGTAAATTGATGATCTCAATCAATGTGTTTTTAAAGAGTTTTGTTTTATTGATGCTGGATGTAACAGCTTCACATTGAACAGATCCTATCGGTTTTTGTCAAATCTGTACGTTTTATATGGAGTATATAACAAGATTTAATGACCAGCACAACTGCCTTTGTGTATTGGAAGAACAAAAATAATATTGCGTTATTATAGTTCCGAACTTTTACTATGATATTTTTCTGTCAAATTACTCAACTCCTTTCCATTCTTATTCGTCAATGTATGTCGCTCCATCTTTGTTTTTTCCATCAAATTGTCCCCTCCTGAAAGTAAAACTTCATTTTTTCTTACCTCTAAAAATCTTTAATTGTTGTTTTCTCAACAGTTCGGAGGTGAAAGTTAGAATGAAGTGTGAGCAGCATTTTGTAGCAGACCATCTTGCAATACTGCATGGTGAATGCGCCGGTATGGTGAAAGCAGAACAGCGGCAAGATCTGAAGAATCTTTACCTTCTTCTCCGCTCTGTTCCAACAGCCATAGCTGTTCTCATTAGCACAGTCCTTGACCATATCAAGCAGCTAAGTCTTCAGACTGTCCTTGGGCTCAGAGGAGATAATGTGAGTTAATTTTCAAAAATTTCACACAAATAATGCTGCAAACAGAAATTGTTCAAACAAATACCTCTGTTTGTAATCCACATTAAGCTTGTTCAGTAATATTTAATTCAAGTATTTTTGAAAATTAAAGAGGCTGAAAACCAGAATATGGTTATTTTTATGACATCAACCCAGAATAAATGAGTTCATGATTGAGTATGATTTAAATGCGGATTGTTGAGGAAGCCAAGATGGCCTCTAGATAGATCCCCTCCATCAGTGAATACACTTCCAACCGGTAATTTTAAAAGAAGCTCCAAATATGCAACTTTGAACTCATTTTTTAATGGTTACTAGAGTTGAAAAAAAACCAGGAAAATTCCTGTCAACTAAGTGCACTATATAGTGCACTTAGATTATGATTACATTTATGGGAAGTGTATACTTTCTATAAATATAATCATTAACAATTACTAAACAAGCTCATTAAAGTAATAATTGATGAAGGAAAGCAAAATTGACAAAAAAAAATGTGGATTTTTATGGGTTAGCCCTCATGGCAAGTGGAGTTAATGAAATGTATCCTCAAACACAATTTTCACATTTTTTACTATGGACCATTTTTAGGTATTTTTTAAAGAAGCCTGAATCTGGTAGGATTCGTGCATTTTGAGTTTGTTCAGTAATTTTTAAATTTTGCAATTCTGAAAAGCATACAGTACACGTAGTCCCCAGAAATTTTTCTGAATTATTTTAAACGGTATTAACTGTCAAACAATGAGTTGGAAGCTGTGTATTTTAACCTCTCATTCAAACAAGCGTCACTTTAAAAGCGGAGATGGTATCTCTCACTGTGGCCATAAAATTGATCACATTTTATCTCTGCCATTATTCGTAGTCTGTGTCTGTGCTGCCATGTATTGAAATTGGTTGCATGGCCTATGGATTGTGGCAGAGGCAGCGCATAATTGGGGTTATGACTGCGAGAACAGGATATTTTTGTACTCACTCTTGGTGATGGAAGCAAGTTTAAAAGAGAGCTTAAAATATGCGGTTTTGAACTCTATTTTCAAGAGTTTAATATCCTAATTTAAAAAAAATCCAGATAAATTCCTGTGACCCCTTGACTTTTCAAAAATGCTAACTACAATGAAAAGTCACAGAAAAAATCATGCCATCAAAATACCCTTGGAGGAAGCTCAAGGTTCAAAACTTGGTTGCTCAATCTTTTTGATGGTTTACTTCAATACTTTGAATAGGTACTTTCATAAAATACGCAATGCTCGAAGAGGGGAGAAAAGGTGGAGGAGAGTGTTTTTCTATTATATTTTTATGTTTTGGAGAATAGGGGCCTGCGTCATAAAATTGTCAGGTGGGGGAGGGGGGTGTTAAAAAATCACATTACATTTTTTATGAATGATCCCAAAGCACCATAATTTTGAGCCTCCAAACTTCAAAAGTTTCTCAAAATTTTGCGTTGGCTCAGCCATCAATTATTGTTCCAATACACTAGGGTCACTTAAGAGAAAGAAGGAGCTTTTTTTCTTTTTTATGTACCCTCTTATCTATTATTCTCCTGCAATCATGTTCTTGAGGTTTTACACTTCGAAAAATGGAAATAAATTTGTAAAATTGGCTATTCTTCTTTTTTTGTCGACAGATCCCTGCTCAGTTCATCGAAAGTATGTTGAACATTCATAAAAAGTATAAGCAATTGATCGCGGAAGTTTTTGAAGGTGACCAAAATCTGATGGGCGCCTTAGACAAGGCTTGCTCGTATGTAATCAATTATCGGCAAAATACTAATCAGCCTTGTAGATCTCCGGAGCTTGTAAGTAGTCAGAATAAATTAAAATTACTATCACAACATTTTTTGTCGGATCATTGCCTTAAGTTTAGTTGTGGGAAGAAAGGAAGACTCATGAAGATATCCATCCAGGTCATTGCAGTAAAAAAAATGGATGTGAAATCAGATTAATATCTGAACATTTCTAGTCATTATCAAACATGAGTAAGCAATTAAGCATATATTCCTTCTATTTTAAATTGAAGTATGTTATTTTGATCACTAACTTTGAAGCCTCTATTACTATTGAATGAACATTCTGTAGTAGTTCTTATAGTCCATTTTGGATGCCATTAATGAAGGAATATTTTGCTGTATTAGCAAGGTTTCTGGTGGCCTGGAAAACCTCAAAAGTCAGGGAATTTTTGGTGTCCCGGAAAAGTCAAGCAATTATGGGAGTAAAAATATTGGCTCAGCAATTTCAGCTGGTGCCATTAAGCGAGAGCAACTGCAGAGTGTTTCTTTTCTTTATATGAATCTCTAGAAGTAGAGTCTTTGTCCATATCAGTGTTATCAAAAGCTAAACAAATCTAAATGAGGGTTTTGATTGATGTTCGGGGAAATTCATAAAAAGTCAGAAAATTCGGAAATTTTGCATTTAAGGAGAAGTGTAAAGGCAAGGGAAATGTTAATAAATTTAGCATCTGCAAAAATGAAACATTTAATTCAATTTATGGAATATGGTGATTCGGAAAATAAATTAAGGGCCAATGTATCCCTGCAAAAAATTAGGAACTTTCATTTAGAATATCGAGGAAATTAAACATAAAATTATAGTAGACACCCTGTGAGTCAACCTGAGGCACAGTCTGTAACTTCAGCGTTAGAAAAGTCTAACCTCACTTTAAGCCCTGGCATCCAGCCGAACTCATCTATTAGAAAAGTAGATCTTTCCACGAAAATTCTGCTGTTCTTGTGTATGTTTCATCAGCAAATACCAACAAATGTCAATGAGAAATTTTATTTCAGCTTGCCAAGTATTGTGATTTATTGCTCAAGAAATCGTCAAAAGGAATGTCTGACAGTGAAATAGATGACCGCCTGAGTCAGTCAATCATAATTTTTAAGTACATTGATGACAAGGATGTGTTTCAAAAATTCTACTCCCGTATGTTAGCCAAACGATTAATCCATCAACAAAGCCAGTCAATGGATGCAGAAGAAGCAATGATCAATCGCCTCAAAGTAAGTCATCAATTTGTTTTATTCTATCCAAAATAATGGAGAAAATTCGAGTTTGCCGAGTCTTGTACTTCTTGTGCATCAAGTAGAAATATCAGAAAGTGGAGTCCAAAATACTTCTATTTAAAATGTACCAATGTACTTGTTTTTATTCACATTCTTTCAAAAGAAAAAAGATCCTCTTACTTCTACTCAAATCCTAAAATGTAATCCCAACCCCTCTTCTTTTTCATAAATTTTCCTGTAACTGATTCCTTAATTTTTTTTTTTTAGTCAATCTATGTTTTCATTTGGCTTGGATCTCTCCAATTTTCAAATCAACTGATGCATGTCCATTTGAGAGTTTCATTACCCGGGTTTCTTTTTTATTTTAGCAAGCATGTGGTTACGAGTTTACCAACAAACTGCACAGGATGTTCACAGACATATCTGTCTCTCAAGATCTTAACAATAAGTTCAATCAATGGCTGAAGGAGTCAAACATAGACGTTGGTATCAACTTCTCTGTGTACGTCCTTCAAGCTGGTGCTTGGCCCCTTGGTCAAACTGCGGTCACTCCATTCACTTTACCTCAGCAACTAGAAAAGTCAGTTGTTTCATTTGAAAATTTCTATCATCATAGTTTTAGCGGTAGGAAATTAACCTGGCTTCATCATCTGTGCCAAGGTAAGTCTGTAAAAATGACTATTTTCTATTTAATCAGTATTTTATTCATTCAGAATCATGATTTCAAATGCTTGCTTGGATGATGAATCAATTGTTATATTTTTCAGCAGCAATTACTCGTTTCCAATTTAAAAATCTATGAAGGATATTATTAATTAACAACTAGTCAATGAGGCAGTAATCCGATCTTTAAGTTAGGTAGTATGTTGGTATGCAAGAAGAGATGAAAAGCAAAAATGAATATTATAAAGTTTCATATTTCTGTCAACAAGTATCCAAAGATGAGTCCAAAAACTCCGGAAAAATTCACGGAAAACAACAAAAATATATAATTACCTACCATCCGTTTGTTTTTGTTTTTTTTTCTTTCTCTCTCTTTTATCAGTGCCCTTGAAAAATATGTAAGCTCCCACCGAACCAACAAAATTCTGCTGAAAATATAATTTGCTTAAACTCCTCTACCTTAACGGCACATTGCTTAGGTATCCATGCAGCTAAAGCGGTACCTTGCTCAACTGCAAAAATTGTGGGAAAAACAGTTTTAAAACATCTGAACCTTAATGGGTTTTACCATTTCCAAGGTTATACAGCCCAGAAATGAACTTCCTTTCCTCCCGATAAAATTTCGTTCAGAGAAAATTATGTCCTTTCTTTGCTGGGCTGAATGTGTTTATCCACGAAGAATAATTTTTCCCTCCAAGCTGGAAGACTACATCCAGAATACAATAAAATTTGGCACTGGCTAAATTTCAAGACATTTAATAATATATTCCCTAAAACCTCCTGACTAAGATGAGCTCCTCAAATCGAACTTTCTATGCATTAATCTTGAGAAAATCAGGTCGGAAAAGTGCACTTACGCGAGAATGTAACATGTTATCATATGGAGAAATGGCACTGTTGCGAAGTTGAAGATGCGGAGATCTTTGTTTAAAACTAACAATAAGTTGATGTGCCATCTAATCTTTCTAGCCAGCAAGAAATAAGGAAACCTACTATTTGACCAACCACATTTTTTCACTTGATAGTACAAGTTAAACTGAAAAAATGCATTTTTCAGACCTGTTTTTCTCGAGATTGGCCAACAGAAAATTTTACTTTAAAAACTCATCTTACTCAAAAGATCGTAAGAATTTTCATATCAAGAAATCTTGAAACTTAGCGGGTGTCGAATTTTTCAGTATTCCATGTATAGCCTTTTGTCAAAAAATTGAAAGAATGAAATAATGTACATCTTTAAATCTAGTAAGGCAACTTACAGCACTTTAGAATACGGCATGATTTCTCACTTTTAAAAGGTTCAAGCATTTGATTTTTGAAAATGTTCCTATTTTCAGGAGAGTTGAAGCTTTATTATTTGAAGAAACCGTACATCATAACAATGCAAACATTTCAAATGGCTATCCTCCTTCTCTTTGAGTCGAATGACTCCCTGTCGTGTTCTGAAGTTCAAAATCAACTTCAACTGAATCCTGAACAGTTTAGTCGCCATGTTCTTAGTCTTATTGAATGTAAACTCATCAACACAGACTCTGAGGTGAGTCACTTCCTCTTTTACACATTTTTGTTGTAATTTTCGCAGAGATTTCTAGCTATAAGAATGACTGGATTATAACTGGAAAATAAGTGAGACAATGCTAAAAAAATCATAACACTTCTTCTAGAAAATTCAACATTTTCCTGTAATATGTGTCAACATTTCTCAGTCTCTCTGTTTTTCTTTTGTCTGTCTGAAATTCTCTGTTTATTTTCTACAGTCATGTTTCCATAAAAAAGAAAACTTTTCCCAAAAGTCCACCAATTGCTCACTGTAATTTATGCTCACAGCAATCTGTGCATTGTAAAATTGAGCATTATCTGCACCACTACATTGAAAATTCTCATTGTGAAGCCTTTCTCAGTCAGCAAAGATTTCTCTATTTTCAATTGAATGTTCATACCCACAAGTTACATATTGACGATGAAACTGCATAAGTTTGTATCTTGGTTGTGGTGTTTCGAAATCTCCGCTTCTATTTTATTTTCCAGAAGGAGACCAAACCAAGATATTGACCAGAAATTTTTACCGAATATTTTTCATTTAAGAATAGAAGAATTACTGAAGTTTTCAATAAATGAGATTTAATGGTTTTCCATATAGATAGTAAAGTATAACAGGAAGTCTAAAACACCCCAAACCAAAATACACCTTTCCGCAGTTTCACCATCGATATGCATTTAATATTTACTAGGAAGTCAAATTAATATTAGCATAAATAAATTTCTCTCATAACTTTTTTCTCTGTGTAATTTTACATTTTTGACTTGACTTGTTTGCAGATGTTAAGTGATAGCACAACCCTTAGTTTAAACATGAACTACAGTAATAAACGAACGCGGTTACGAATTCAAGCTGCTGTTCAAAAAGAAAACCCACAGCAAGAACTAGAGCAAACAGTAACCGCTGTTGATGAAGATAGGAAATTATACTTGCAAGCAGCCATTGTTCGAATAATGAAGCTGCGTAAAATACTGTCACATAACTCTCTAATCCACGAAGTATGTACATAGAATTCTTTTTTGTCTTGTCTTTAGTCTTTTGTCTTATGTTTTGTCTTAGTCTAATGTTAGTTTGAGGAAACAGCATTTCAGAGTTTGGTTGGCACAGTATGGCCATTATTACCTGAGTCGAAGGCCGGGAGAAAGGCCTTCTGTAAAGAACAAGAGGAAATTGCAGAATTGTTTGTTTTAAGTTGCATTTATCAACGAAGATATAACTATCCCCAGAATGCCAACTGTTTCCTCCATTCTGGCGTTTTCACCTCACGGACAAACACAAAATATGTTCATTAAATTTTTTAAAAGTGTTAAGGGGAAAAAAGGTACATATTACTTTTGAAAATTACCTTTCAGGCTGTAAATTTGCCCTACATCAATAGATTAAGCGGTCAGACATTTTTTGCAATCCTGCAAGAGAATGATAGTCCTCATGAATTACACTTACATACAACGTTTATCTCTAAATTTTGCAGGTCTTATGTCAATCTGAATCATTTGCTCCAACGATCAGTATGATTAAGAAATGCATTGAAGCACTCATTGACAAACAATACATTGAACGAACGCCCAACTCCACAGATGAGTACAGTTATGTAGCCTGAATCGTTGCTTCCAACACAAAGCTGTGCATAGGTAAGGTGTCCTCAAAATAAACTTTTCCAATGTTTCCATTGTAGGTTTCTCAGAATCAAGTTTAAATGGCATCACTGATGAAACTGAGATTGAAAAAATGACAATAGAACAATAGACACGGTACGAAATTAAGCCGATTAATATATATTTTCTCATTGAAATTTTACATTAGATACGGTGGAATCGCTAAAATTCTCTAGCGGCAAATCATAAATTAGGAAACAACGGTTCTCAGTCATGTTAATTCACACCACCCACTGACGAAAAATCGGAAATCCACTTGAAAATCAAGCTCCAAACTACTATTGGTTTTTTTACAATGGAAGAATTTTCCCTTGTGCTAACTCTTTTTCGACCACATCAAAGGCACCCTGTATCAGAATAGAAAGGAATTATGTGTGTGAAACTAAGCTCTAGTTATTTGCCGAATAAAATATAAATTGGTATTAGTGCCTAATTTGGCCCACACTCATTATCCTTTTTCGTGAGTGAGGATAGGGTGGTCCACTTTGGGCGATATCGGAAAATGGACCGCGCCGCCCTCTAAATTTGTTCTATAAGACTAAAAAATGATGTATGCCAAGTTTTTTTGATCATCGATAATTTTAAGTGGTGCCGCATTGAGATTGAATTTAGGAAAAATCACCAAAAATAGGAAAAAATGACAAAAATTGTACAAATTGGCAACGTCTGTCTAAAAACTTAGATGACCCATTACGCCTCGTAAATTTGTTCCACAGAACACTAAAATAACGTGGACTAAGTTTCAGCACTTTTAAACAACATTAAAACATGCCACTCTCGTGCAGGTTTTCTTGAAAAATCACAAAAAATGACGTATTATCAGAAATAATTTTATTCTCTAACTGTAGGTAAAGTGAAAACAAAATAATGGCAATAGTTTGGGCGGTGTCAAAATAATGAATGAAACCTACGGTAGGAATAAATACATTGTTTTTTAGAAGTCTTGCCTCATGGTGGATTTGTTAAAATTTCTGAAAATTGTCCTATACTCTGCCACATTTTGCAGAATACTCTGTTTCTGTGTTTCATCCTTGGTCAAAATTGTTTCGTACTCACTGATTAATTTCACACCACGCTCAGCAATGTCGTTTACTACTTTCATCTTTTTGACTATTGACTGGCTTTTTTTGTAAGCCTCACTTTGGTCCCAGTCTTCAGGATCCTCACCTAGAAATTCATCGTTCAGTTCTAGCCACTCGAAAAAGTGATTAGAATCTGTGTTAATAAAATCACTTATCTCTTTTTTCTGCAGATCTTTAAGATCAGATAACTTTAACCTCTTAATACCTTCGTTCGAAGAGTTTTCTTTTGCAAGTGCTTCAACCATTTTTCTTTTTTCATCAGTTGATACTTCGTCATCAAAAAAACTAAGAGCAGCATTTTCCGGAGTTAAATACCACAAGTGATTTTTAATTTTATCAAGAACAGCATCAGATATATCCGAATCTATTTTTTCGTATTCAATCACCTTTTTCGCAAATTCCAAGTCACAGTTCGGGGCTTTGTGTGCCAAAGGTGCCGTAAACCATGCTTTTAAGTAAAGCTTTACGATAAAAATACACACATCTCTTAACTTTTCTTCTACTTCTGAAACAAAATCGAGCTGTCCCCTGAAAAGATACATTTTAAGGGTATAGATAGCTTTCGCCATCCAGCGAGTGTGATTGAAAGCACCAGGTGCTCTGAACTTGGCACCTTTTGTTTCACCTAAAATAATTTTTGAAAGTTTTAAAAATTCCTCGTAATCATCTCGTGGCTGTTTCGTGGACGTTAAGACTAGTTCTATGAAATTAAGTATCTCAGCTCGATCACTCTTAAAAAACACTAAATCCTCATCAGTAAAACTTTCAAATTTATCCTGATCAATACTTGGCCATGCATTTTTAAATTTAGAAAACAAGCTAACGTTTGGACCTGGAGAATGAGGTATTTTGCACTCAAAACAAGCTTTTAAGTACAGCTCGTAAATATGGTGCCGGCAAAGAAGATACAGTAAAGCCCTACCGAGAAATTGCTCCAAAATAACACAAGCACCATTGATGTGTCCTGTGTTGGAACTTGTGGTGTCACAACATAGTGCCTTAACAATCTCACTTTGATCCCATTCAATTAATTCAGAGTAAACAGCCTTTCCTTGCTCCAGCCCAGTTGAATCATGCAGTACAGGCACTGCCAACAGTTTTTCTACATCCCCGCTGGTTAAGAACACTGCAAGTCGATCATGTTTTCCAGACCCTTTATCATTAGGAAAAAGTTTCCCGTCCCAATGAACAACAGCTGCACTCAGAGTCATATCCTTAAAATACAGTTTTACTTTCTCGGCTTTTTCAAGACGCAAATTCTGCCTGGCTCGGCGGATAGAAGAGCGACTTGAAATAATCGAGGCTGGATCAAAGCCTAACGCTTCGACTACTGCTGATATCAGGTGAACGGCATCCCTGTCACTCACTTTACATTTGTCAAGAACCGTAACAACTTTGGAGCTCATGACGTTAATTGAACCCTGTGGTTTGGTTCTTTCCGGCGGCGGCGGCGGCGGCGCTGACTGTGAATGTGATGGTCCAGGTTCGCATTCGAGTGGTTCATCAACTGAAAGTTCTACTGAAGAATCTGTATCAACTTCCGGTTCTGAGCTATCCGACACATCCCGATAATCAGTAGCTCCACCTGAAAGTTGATAGTTTCAATCTTCACTAGGAGAACTTTAGGGAAAAAATAACAATAATTGTTCTTCAGTTCTACAGCATATTTCTGCCTTCTTCTCCCCCAGTAATGTAAAAAAAAAAAAATTGCAAAAGAAAAGGGATGTAAGTCCACGAAAGATGTAGAAAGTACAACTGTTTTTTGACATAAGTCAAAGGAAAAAGTCTAATTCGACCGAAAATTCTACCAACTGTATCCTCTATCCCGGTTTAAATCAGAAATAAGCCTTAGTTGAGGAGAAAAAATATACGCTTGTCAAATTGACAAATTGATAAGCATTTCCTAAGTTAACTAAGTTATTTAAAATTAGTAAAAAATTGAGAAAAAAGCTTACAATTTTTTTCCAGTTCCTTGGCAAGTTTCTCTGCTCGTTCTCGTTCCCTCTGCTGCCTCTCTGCTTTCCGTTTTTCCTGTTTTTCTAGCTTGGTGTCGATGCCATACATACATCCAACTCGTCCTTTCTTTCGTTGATTGATTAGAAAATCTCTGTCTTCTTTAATACGTATCATGTTCAAAGCATCAGCATGCGCAATATCGAATAGGTCATCCAAGTTGCTGATAAAGTCATTTTCACGTTGCACGTTAATAACACTGCGCCTATGTGAGTTCCTCTGCACATCTCTCCAGTCTTTGTAAAGATCTTCCACTTTTTTAATACAACGATCATCGTGTTGCACGGGAATTCTAGCTTTGCTCCAGAAAACTTTCACCTCTTGGATAACAAGATGCGAACTATTACGTAGATCCAAGCCCACTTCCCGCAGGTTAAAAAATAAAACTCTTAACACTTGTCCTTTTGAGGGGAGTTTACTCCCTCCAATGCCCGGACAGGAATTGCCGATCAAATAAACGCTCCGATCTTTACGTAAGGATGGTTTTGAAAGCGACATGGTTACACGAAATTTTTACGGAAGAAAAAATCGAAACCAAAAGCACGTGTACGCCCGATTGAGCAGGCATGGTCTGACTGAATCCCTAGCAGCCTGTGCCTTACGAGGCATAGGATATTTTGCAAAGTTCAGCACTTTTACGAGCAAACCAACGTTGATAAGTGCACACCAAGAGTGCAGTCAATTTTCTATACAAGCCTTTCAAAAATTTACTTTTGTCTGCAATATGACAACGCGTAACAGCGAGCCTCAGAAATTCCTGTCTTATCAGCTAGGCGCGAATATGAGCTGGGAGTCCTGGGAGTTCCTGGACTCACAGGCTGTGGATGCTGATTCGTCATACCTTGCCATATTGTGCTGTTAATGATGCAATAATTTGCTTCTAATTAGAAAAAAGCAAACTTCTCATGAAAAATAAGCAAAATTTTGAAGGAAAAAACTGCCAAAACAAACCGAGAACGAAAATGGGGTAATTTATCTATTTTCGCGCGATTTTTCATACAAAGCGGAACCCCTCCCCTCCACTTACATTAACATTAAACTCGCATACATTTTAGTACGGATTATTTTGAAGTCATGTTGACCATATTTAGAGGGTGCCACTGTTAATTTACCGACGTTGCCAATTTATACATTTTTTTCATTTTTCCCTATTTTCGGCGAATTTTCGAAAATTCAGCCTCAATGCGGCACCACTTAAAATTATCGGAGAGGAAAAAAATTTGGCACACATCATTTTTTAATCCTAAGGAACAAATTTATGGGGCGGCGTGGTTCAGATTCGAAGAAAAAACATCACCCATGTTAAAGTGGACCACCCTAGAGTGAGGAGTTGGAATTTACTGTTCTTAATGTAAACCACAGACATTCATTCCTCTTTTATCAGTCAATAATCGAATTTTTCAACTTGTTCAACATTTCCTGCGGGAATATTGATGAGAAAACATGTACTGTAGTGCTTGATTTCTTTCCCTTTTCATCGGTCCATTGGAACTATTGCATTAAATGACATTGACCACTACGTTATTCAAAAGACACTTTCTGTTTCAATGTTAAAGTGTCGAAATTCGGGGTTTTGACAGATTTTTTTGTCTTGATTTCTGAATGGCTTTTCTCAAGGTGTGAATATTAATCCCACAATGTCACAAACAGAGATCTTGTTTTTAGTCTGTGAGCTTTACCATCTTCACTAATTTGTACCAAGATGATCAATTGAACAGTTTGAATAAAACAGCACATTTTTATTTTTCAGTTATCACTAGAAAATTCAACACGGAGATCAGTGGAGAGCAATAGCAAATACATCAGCTCTGATTTCCTGAATCTGTAGGATTCGAATCGAGCCAGCCTGCCACTAAATCTGCTTTTGGTTTCTTCTGAAATTAATCACTAACCTCAAAGTTTTAATACTTGTTTTGAACTCGAAACTAATCTAGTGCCCAGAGAAAAATTCTGTCAACCCATTTCTTGTCTGCAGTTTGTTATCGACAATGTAAGTGATGTAGAAATTAGTCACCCAGAACACTTAAGTATAAGCATGTTGTTAGCTCTCCCACATAAAATGTGGAAAAAGAATGACCCTGTATTTGAATCAATACTTATGTGATCAGGAACAATCTCCTATTTTGCATTTCGTTTTATTTTACTAGAGATGGAGTATCCTATCCATTTTGTTTTCTTTTGACATCGTTTTTGGATATCATTAATCAAAGAAAAACAATTACCAATTTTCAAATAAAAAACGAGTCGCAAAAGACTGGTGGGAAATAAAAAATCAATATTTACCATTACAATAATGCTCAAAGAGAAAAATTAATTTGTTTTTAAGAAAGCAACTCATGTAATAATGCTTGAAGTGATAAACAATGGTTTGAAACTATGCCCCCCCCCCCCCCCCAANCCTCAAAACGCAACACATGAAATGTATGTAGCGTATCACATCTCTCAGAAGGGAAGAAAGGAGTCTGCCTGTCATCATTATTCTTGAAAAAAAACTCCTCTCCTCTCCTTAAACCGTAAAGTCTTATCTTAACTCTAAAATCTTTTATTTTAACCAACAAGGTAAGTCCAACCATTTGGAAAAGGAATCACCTAAACCATGAGCTATCCATCAATGTATAGCGTAGCGCTAAATTCATGGTTTTTTTACATCTACTCGCCCCGTGGGGTACTTTACAATACAGGGATAGACTCTTTCTCCTTGCTTGAAACCGCTTTGTTTACAATTGCCTCAACTTCACCTTTATTTCCAAAATTGCTCCGAATATTCGTTTGATTACTCGAATTTTTTTTTTCTTCTTCTTAATGAAAGATTAAGATGGGTACAACCATCAAAAGTTCCTGATTTTCAAGTTAGTGGAAGTGAATGATTTGTGGGAAGTCTTAAAAGTACTCGATAGTTTTTGAATTTTACGCCTAAAACTCAAGAATCAGGAAGTTCCGGAGATTCATTATATTTCATTAATTATGTTTTTGTCTCTCATTATCAACTGTCGTGAAAAATTTCACTGAATTTCGATGTCAGACTTTTCTCTGCCATTCCTTGGGTAAATTTTGAGAGTGCTGAGTATGCATCAACTTTCCCTTTTTTGTTTTCGGAAGAAAATTTTTTAGAAATGTGAGTCCTGGAGTATCCTCAAAATGTTTGTTGAAAAGTCTCACAAAGTCTTAAAATGTCTTGAATTTTTCTTTTGACTATGTAAGCCCTCATAAAAAAAATGTTCTTTTGTTGTTGAGAAAAAGAAATAGAGGAAAATATTTATTTGTGCCTTGGTTTATTTAAGGAGAGGAGTGTTAGAATTTTTTTTTGTTCCATTTATTTTATGACCTTACCTTTCTCTATAACGCTGCATACTGGTAGGAGAGACCGAGAAATGTCTCAGAATGAGATGTAATTTGACGGTAGCGTTTTAGTGGTGTCTACTCAATGAGAATATCTTGAACTTAATCACCGTAGCCCTCAAGCTTCTCAAAAGAGACTAAAAAAAAATTAACTCAAGCACCTTGTACTTTTTTGTTGTAATAGTAAGGCAAACGCTGAAATTCCATGAGCCTTGAGTTGTTTCTTATTATATTCATCTTTTCCATAATTTCATAAATCATTGTTCTTCACCATCTTCCACTTCCTGTTGATGTTACTGAACCCTTCCTGCTAATCATGGTTTTTTCAGGTTACTTTGAAATTTTTCATCCCGCCTTAAAATTATATGTAGCCTTTAGATTTTTGCCTCCCTGGGTGTTTATTGTTCTAAATGCTGCAAGGTCAATTTTTGATACCTCGAACTTCCTGTTATCTTCACATTCTACCTTGGGTTTTATTTGCTCTCAACTTGACAAAGTGCAATGTGTCTGCTGTAATTTTTGGTGGTATTAGCAGTAACGTTTTACATTTTTTGCATCTTTTTGGAGAATTTTGTCCTCTAACGCCCCGGGGGACGAAAAATCCTCTCTTTTTCTGCTGGACTGAGTTTTTTGTAAAAAGGTTTGATAGGATTGTGTCATACTCCTATGTTTTCTCTTTCGCTTAAATTGTTGTAATTTTTTGCATTGCAAATTGTACTCGTGGAACCTGTCAAGAATTTGTAGAAAATTTGGAGAAGAATCGTTTCATCTAAAATCTCTTGTCATCAATCCACAAATCCACAGGATGGACTATTTTTTCTGCCTTTGTAGTGCTCTCTCTTATGTGCCCGTTTCTTTTATCTGCAATCGAGTGATAAAAAGTAAATAGGAATTTTGGTAAAAGTGAACGATCAATCACGATGTTTTGAAAAATTTGTCATGTTAAACAACTTTTCAAAATATTTTTTAATGAAATATATAAATATTGACCAAAGAATTTTTTCGTTTTTGCAACTCTTCAAAATCCCTCTCATAAATAAAGCTTTTATTAAGTGTATATATTTGCAGATTTCTACGCTAGATGTGTATAATAAGAGTCTTACAGTTTCTTGCAACAGGTTATGAAGGCTCCAAAGATTACAATTCATGTAGGTCAAAGAAAGGATCCTGCATACTAATTATTAGAATTTCTTCCCACTTCAAATTTTCGTTTTGTCACCTTTTACCAAGTGTTTGAGTATCTTGCCAACTTTTTTTTTTCTTGTGATCATAATACTACACATTCTCAAGATTTTAAAAATTGAAGTTATGAGCTAATTTATTACATATTCAGTGGGAATAATACTTGTCAGTGGTCCTTTTAGCGCCAAAGTATAATTGAAGAATTTCCTTCAAAAACATATTGTAAACATGATGGTCTTCCATGAACCATCAAATGAATGTACACTTACACTCAACTTTGATTGGTTTTCGCCCTCAAACATGTCAACCATAAACCACTTACTTGTCTTACTTTTAGAGAAAAAACCTCTTATTGTTCAAGTTAAATTACTAAGTCAACTTGTATTGAAGCCACGTGTAGATATCCAGCGTCAAGTCAAAACAGATTTTTGCAATACCCCTCCCTTAATAATTTTCAAAGGCCAACTACAGCATTGCTCTTTCATTAACAATTTATTTCCAACACATAGACACTTTTTTAATGCCAATCTTTACAATAGTGGTTTTTTGTTTTTAAATCTAAAATTATAATTTTTAAGTCTTGTAAGAGTCTTGTCTTGTCTTGTATTCCATTTTCCATGGAATAATGATGAAACTAAATTCTGACATGATAATATATTGCTTGAAAAACATTTCCTAATATCACATCCTTGTAACTTACTAATACAATAATTTTTGTAAACCCCTGTATCAAAAGCAGCGTAAATTAACGGCATCTGAAGTATGTCCTTTTTTTAAAGTTGATGTGTTTATGGAAAGACAAAAGACAATGCAGGTAACTCTTGAAGACCGAATATTTTGATACCACAGAATGAATCTCGATAAAAAATACATTTTCCTGCTATTAATGAAGATTAATCCCATGAAAATCGAAAACTGCTTAAATCAAAATTGATACCCTCAAGTCCAAAATCGGTCCACTTTTACAGCACTTGAGTAGGTAGAACCTTTCAGTTAGGTCATCAAAATTGTATTGAAATATTTTGCACTCTCTGATTTTTGTCAAATTTATGCGCAATTTTCGTAAGCTAATTGAGGCCATTCTGTATGAAATTGGAGTGCAGAATTTTTAGGGCACATGCCCTCACTCCAATCCAGGTCGAATCACAAAATAATTCAAAATCGAAAATATACATATCTGCCGCCCATATTCAAATCAGTAAGATTCATAATTACAGGTAAACCCTTTCTAAGTTTCCAAATGGGGCCAATGAGTAGCTACAAACTCCTTTTCCATGAATTTATATATTGTACTCTCAACACTTATGTCACATTCATATTTTTTCCCTTGCAATTATTCAACATTATTTCTATGGGGATTGAAGAAGGCTGTTGGGTGACTGTCTATCTTTGGGTGTAGTGCGAAACCGCAAAAGGTCCGGGTCAATCTCAGGCTGTTCCTTGCTCGTTTGAGAATGACTGCCTAAAGGATAGTGGTACGGTGTAAAGCTGCCCCACTCCATACCCAGAAATAGAGCACCTGAAGAGTATGGAGGACTGGAGTTTTGTGGCATGAGATTTGACCCTGTGAACAAAAAAATGTACAATACATTCCAAGAGCAAAAGAGGGTGCAGTGGTGAAAGTATATTTGCCAATGAGCATGTAATTGAATCTACTTGCTATCTTGAAAGGTTTTTGTTTTACCAGTCAAGTGCACTGTTGCGACCTAATAACTACACACAGTTTTATACTTTAACGTGTGTAATTACGTTCTCACAGTTTTATCAAGTTGCATCTGATGTTAACTTTTTATGAGGCCAGCAGGGAATATTATTGGTGCTTAACCTTTTATTTAGGACATAATAAGAACCACGCCCGAATGTTTCTTATTTTATTCATCCTATCAGTGTGAGGCTGATTTTCACTCATGGTCTGATCTTTTCAGAGCATACATGCAAGCTGGAGCAAGTCTAAGTTTAAGTTGTACATATATATTAATCGATGAAGAAATTAAAAAAATTAGAACTTTCAAAACTTTCTTCGTTTTGAAAGTGAATACAATTACCATCCCCTCCCAATTAAGTAGCACAGTGCAATGAAAATATTGAAATTAAATTGCAATTTGATTGGAATAAAATTGTAAATTTTTTACCATTAAATTGCAATATTTTTGCATCGTTTAGTCAATTTATAAGCAATCAACGAAATGAGCTTCATGTGTCAGAAAGATAGGCAATTTGCAATGCAATGAAAAATTGCAACATTTCAATTTTACTGGAATAAGTTTCTATAAATGGGGCCCCTTCAAATAGGAGTTAGGCAACATACACAACACTCAATGGAATTGCAAAAGAGCCTCCCTAAAAAAGGGCCTTTTTTGGCCCCTTTTCGGGAACCCGGGGATTTCGTTCGTTTGTGGCTTAAATGAAACCTTATGATGAGGTAAGCCTCCAGTAAAAATTTTAGCTTGAGTATACGTCTAGTTTCCGAGATACAGCGTTGCAAAGTTGGCATATTTTAGCTTTAAATTTCTCATATTCTCAGGTATCTTATTTTCTCAGAACGATTCAATTGGATGTTTTATGATATTTTGTGACATTTTATCAAATGTTAGTATTATTATCGAATGCATATTTC